CCACAGCTCTACTATATACATAAGGCGTAGGCATTAGCCTAGAAGTTAGCTAACATATAACACTTAATAAAAAAAAAGGCACTAGTAGTGCTGCTATAATAATAAGCATATAAAGTTGCTAAGACTTAACTATAACTCTAGACTAGAACTGCATAGAAGTACTTTTTATAACGCACAACTTTTGCTGCCTACAGCTGCAAATTAGTGCTAGTAAGTAAAATAATATTAATATTATAAAATAGTAAAGCTGCTACATACTGCTTTTTAGCCTATTTATAATTAGCATTTTATATAAAAAAAAAGTAGAAAAGCTAAAAGATTTATATATTTATGCTAAAACACTAAATAAACTACTAATTAGTAGTAGAACTAGTTAAAAGGGTAACACAGATGCACCCTAGGCTGCTAGACTGCACAAGGACGTTAAAGACGCCCGCACTAACAGCGCTAAAGGTAGAGAAGGAAGGCTAGAGAGACATCTCTCTCTGTGTGTGTGTGTGTGCAGGCGGGGGTATCTGTCACTGTTAGTACTGTATAAAAAGAGAAAAGAGCTAGAGAATTATACAGTAAGGCTTAGAAAGTAAAGAATAAAAAAAAAGGTAAAAAAAAAAAAAAGACTTTATTATATACACCTCCCTACGCACCTGCCTATACAAAGATCCTACACTATTCTAGCATAAAACTCTACATAAAATAGTTTATACACTACTAAATTACTTATAAAGTAAGTGTATAAAAGCTAGATAATAATAGCTTAAAACACTTTATACTATTTATAAAGCTATTTACATAGCGTAACTAGCTTATTTTAATATATAGCATTACTAAGGCAAGTTTTAATAAATAAAGTAGAGTAAAAGTAAAATATAATTAAATAAACTTACATAGATAAAAGAGAGGTAACGCATATAAAAGGTAACTTTTTAGATAAAAAGAAAAGTTGCTAGTGTCTGTACACAGCAGCAGCGTTACAATCTAGATATAAGTAATTACGCACAAGCAGGACCACATATCTATGTTACATAATGCTTGTGCGCGAACCTCTGTGCGTAAACATTTAGATATCCCCCTTTTTCTCTATATAGAGGAAAGATAAGAGTAATAAAACTAAAAACATGTTGCCCTTACCTTACCTACCTTATACGCTGTGCACACTGTACACTACTCTTACTCTTGCTACTTAAGTGCTTATACTATAAGCAGCTAGCTGTTGGAGCCTATTCAACAGTTATACTTTTATATAAATACTAGTAACCTTTTTTTTATAACTTAAGCTACTTACTTATTACTTTTACTTTATTTATTTATTTTTTTTAACATTATTTTTTATAACGTACACTACAAGTAAGTTACTTACGCACCTAAGTTGCTTACTTTTACTATAACTCTACTAAACTACTTTTTTACACTAATACATTCCTAATAACACTACTTAATGTAACAGCACAGGCAAGACAATGGGTCTGAATGCGGTGGGAATCCACTTAGAAGCATATGGGAGTGCGTGGGGACTCAGAACCTGGGAATTGCCATTAACATCTATAGGCCTTGTACAAAGGATATTAGAAAACTACTAAGCTAGCTAAGAGGAGAGGTGCGACTAAATACTTAGAGGGAATAGGGGTAACTGTGGGGGACAGGATCAAGTCATGGTCGGGGCCGATACGGGGACCCTTCGGATAGGTTCTGAGCGACCCAAGATGGAACGATTCGTGAGAATCGTTACACTTAAACGCGCTAAAAGAATATTAAATATAGCTTATACTTTACGCTTTTAAATAAAATATAACACTTTTAAAGTAATATGCTATAGCTATATTTTGACAGCGCGTACCGCGTTACATGATCTGCGGCTTTAGCTCCCTTGCTTGCGCAACAAGTAGCGCCTTAGCAGGGGGCACACAGGTATATCTTAAACTCGCAGAGCAGCTCCTCTGCTCCTTAGTTTAATCTAGTTAGTTTACACCACCTCTTGCTTGTAGCTTAAGTATGCTAATTGTAACATATATATAAAGTTTAAAAATAAATAAATAACGAATATACTAAATAACTTTTATAAGCTAATTCTATAGCTAACTTATAAAAGCTAAATAATAATAAAAAGTAAGTAATTATTAAGTATATACTTAAGCTATTTATATAAGAATTTTTCTTTTAGCTAGTAGCTATAGCTAATATAGCTAATTTTTTATATGCTAAGTATAATTTAAGCTATATTAGTTAAGGCTAAACTAGCTTTAAATTACTTTAAAGATTTAATAGAAAGCTTTTATATAGTTATACTTATACTTAAACTTAACTTTAAGCTTTAAATAACACTTTATAAATATACTAGGCTAGTTTATGCTAATATAACCTAAATTACACTTAGTGTGTAAAGAATTAGCTATATTAGCTATAGTTACTAGCTAAAAGAAAATTCTTACATCTATATCTTAAGTATATGCTTAATAATTACTTACTTTTTATTATAATTTAGCTTTTATAAGTTAGCTATAAAATTAGCGTATAAAAGTTATCTAGTGTGTTAGTTATTTATTATTTTTTAAAAACCTTATATATAGCTACAGCATATTACTTAAAAAGTGTTATATTTTATTTAAAAGCTTAAAGTGTAAGCTATATTTAACATTTTTTAGCATGTCTAAATAGTGTTATTAGAAATTTATTAGTATAAAAAGAGTAGTTTAGTAGGGTCTTAGTAAAAGTAAGCAACTTAGGTGTGTAAGCAACTTGCTTGTAGTGTATGTTAAAGCGTCTTTATTTACTCTCTCTTGTGTAGGGCGTTAAAAAAGGCTTATAGTCTAGTTCTATATCTATCAAGTAAATAAAGACTAGTTAAAGAATATTAGAATAGAAGCAATTTAATTTAAAAACAAAAGGATATTAAAAGAGGCCATAGCACTAATAAGCGTAGCTATAAGATTGTTTTTTACAGAAGTAGTAGAAAGGTTTAGAAGACAGGAATTGCTAGCACATTTAAACTTCTATTAAACTAGTTTGCAGCATATAATGCTTACTATCTCCCTTAGATGCGCAGAAATAAGAAAAGTGACAAATTTATTTACAAAGTTTTACATAAAAAAAGTGAAAATATAACAAATTAGAGAAACTATATAAGGCTTTATTAAAGGAAGATAGAAAAGTCTTAACAGAAGTAATAGGAACCTGTTGGCAGCATAGTTAACCTAGCGTTAATGTTTTAGAACTAAAAGCGGTGGGAGGAGGCTCAAGAGCCTGGGATGCAAGTAATAGAGACAAGAAAGAGGGTGCTTAGGAAGGGGCATCTGGATAAGCTAACTCGCATGGCCAACCTAGCGTCTACGTACACGAATTAAAGGCGGTGGAAGGGTGCTAAAGAGCTGGAGGTGCAAGTAAGGGAGATGATAAAGAGGGGGCTAAGGGAGGAGCATCCTTCTACGCTAACTAGAATGGCTTGCCCAGCATATATATAGTAGTTCTAATGCCAGAATGATGGGGCAATAATATTAACGGAAAAGCGCTTCTTGCTACAGAATCATATTCCTAACACAGTGTTTTTGCTTGAAGCTGTTAAAGTGTTCAAGTAGAGAAATTAGACGTTGACTTTAATGGTACGTTTGTGGAATATAAAAACTGGCGCAGATGCGCAATGGTTAAAGCTGCGCCAGTATGCTTACAAGTAATATTTAACGGTAGTTAAAGTCATTTAGCACTCCATATCACCGCACCACCTACCAGTACTCGGCCTACCGATTCTAAACACTAAAATTAGGTACCTAAAGTAGTAGCACTCTACCTGATATAGAAGGTAGGGAGCAAATACCTTCTTTCGCTAGTGGGATAAAACTTTTGCCCCAGCTGCATTTAAAGGGGAGACTGGTTTCGTCCGCAACTGTACAAATGAGCACCACTGGATTCGAGACAGAAATGATTTCTTTGGATTGTGGTCTAATGCAACAACGTTTGCGGTTGAAGATGGGAACGCCAAATCCTCCACAAGTACTTGCCCTAAAGCCCTCCCTTCCATCCCTGTCCGCCCTCTTCGTCCGGTCGAACTAGTTGGGTTCCACAATACCCCGGGGGGAGCGCGGCTATGAATTTATAGGGTTTTGTCCACGTCCAGGATGACAAAACCTTTATCTCCAGCGACGAAGACATGTAATAGTATAGACTAGTAGGATGCTGAATGCCATGCATTCTCATCTCGTCCGAACTTATCAAGCATCACTCTCCCAACACCAAGCTCCAATCGACCCCCAACTTCTATCTTGCAAATGGCTTGAGTTTCTAAGAAAGACTAAGATATCTACACAGAATTACAGTGTTCTTCTATCCTACACTTATAGGCTCTCCTTTTGCGGCTTTTGTGCACAAAATTATACTTTAATGTTGTGTTAAAAGACAAAGACTTTAAAGGAATTTAGACATACTTGTGCCCCGCGCGCTGTTAACTTTTACTCCTATGCTGCACTAGTCCCTTCTAGGTCAATCCTATACTCGATGAGGACGCCCCTAATACCTCAGAAAATTTGTAGAAGATTTAGATGACTTGGGGTTGCACGCAGATCCAGTCCGAGGCAATTTCTAGCTCTAGCATTCTATGTCTACGAACGGGGAATATTCTACCGAGAACGATATGCAAATACGCTCTTGCGACACCTATGAGAAAGCATACGATTCGGATTAAAATCGACTGCGGTTATGAAATGAGAGAATAGCCTACTGAGCGTGGTGCAGCGGTGGGAGGGGAGATAAAATCAAATATTGGTGATTGTCTCAGGTTAAAAAGAAGGCGGGTAGTGGGAAGATAAATTATTTTATCGATTGGTTGCTGCCTAGACCCATCCTTAGCTGTGCGGTCTTCCCAGCCTACGCAGCAGAGCAGCAGGGTTAAAAGCACTGTCCTCTCCGCACTGATTTCCTCCTCTACACTCTATCACCTTCAAAAATACAACCTGAAAAAGGCGCACAAAATTCACCTTTGGCAACCTCCCTAGAGAACCCCGAGTCGAGGTATACCACCATGCACTCTCTGCTGAAATATTTGGATTCCGAGAGCTTGAGCTACGCTTCTGCGTCTGCTATCCAGTAACAACTGGCTTTCCTTTGTGGATTCATGATAAGCTAGTAAGGTGGATATTCGCCTTAAAGCAAGTTCATCCAGAGGTATTCGAGCAATTTTGAATAGGCCTATTTGCGAAATGATATTTCCTTGGGATGAAAAACAGGAACCGTTCTTTCCGATCTTGAACTTTTTGGTAGTGTTGAAAGAGTTCGGATACCGATGATTCTAATTCCTTATATTGAAGAGAGCACATATAGCGCTTACAACTTCGACGCTGTGCTCACGGAGCGGAGGGACAAGATGTGGTGGCAGGGCTCAAGGCCGTTGCTGAGACATATTCAAGCGCTGGAGACGTACGCTCTCAACGATATAGCAATCAACATTATCCTCTTCGAGGATGATTTCAGGAAGCTTGGCAATAGGTACGAGCATTTTCCCGATCCAAACGCCACACAGACATGGAGCTGCGAATTGTCCTATCTCGAGGCCTTTAGACTGCAATTTGAGCGTGTGCAGTTTATCCTAATGGATTCTAAATTGCGGAATTGCGAAACCTCGGACATATTTGCGTCAGTATTAAGAGCGTATACCATCGCAGTTCCATTGGTGCATCAAGAACTCGTCCGGGTGGCAAAGATGTTTGTTGAAGATGAGAGCTGGATTCTGAAAGATTGGGTTGAGGATGGTAGTTGGCCAGGCTGGCATTTGAAAGTAAACGTGATACGAATGGCGAAAGAAAAGAACTATGGAGCATCAAGGCTTCAAGCGTTGGGGTCCCATTTTCGATGGCAAGGAGTAAACGCCGCTCCTGGATCCGGGAGATGGGTTGTTAAGGTGGATTTCCAGAAGGCGGGCAAGAAACATTCAGGGCCGTCCCAAAATTTCCCATGGGAATCATCGACCAGCCAATCGTGAGATAAGGCAGAATGTCGCCGGAATCGCCGCTCTACGTCTTGAGAGACCATAAGAAACATCAGACCAATAGTCGATTGCTCAGTTGGGTGTGTTCGACTACCAGAACGATTCCTTCTTTTCCTCAGGCAACTCGGCCCAAAACCACCTACTGCCAAAAGCTCCTCTTCGCTCAGGATTATCGCGTCGAGTGTCTGCTCTCAGTCCATAAAGAGTGTGAGCCCTGAGCTCCTTTCGGTCTCGTTTCACCTGGTAGTCCATATACGAGAACAAGGCGAAGCCCAGCACGAATCCAGGTAACATAATTGCTAAAGGCCTTTTAAAGTAGATATTTGCGTGATTAGATTCGTGGTGACAATGACAATTGGGGATGATATGTTTCAGATCAAATTTGGTGAGGAGGGTGAAATGTGCTTGATGAATGGATGAAGGAAGTTGCGGTGTGGAAAAAATTGAAAAAAACTTCGGGCCGAGCTTCGCCTTTTGTCGCTAGACAGAGGTCGATGCCAGCCCCGAGAAGCATAGGCTAGAATCAGATTCGGAGATTCGCGTTCGACTTCTAGGCAGATAAAAAATAAGTAAACCTTCAAACTTGGGGGGGTGAAATTGAGCCGTTGGAAAATGTGCATCACGCTGTCACATGAAACGCGTTCTGCCAAGCCTCTAGCGTGAGGGGGCCTTGGGACGCTTCACGTCTCCATCCTTGCACTCTCTGTTTGCTCGTCTCCCACCTTTTTCCAGCATTCACCAGCTCGACTTTCTTGGTTACCGCTAAAAGGACTACAAGGAAGGACAAGGGTCAAACAAAGGGTTATGGAGGAAAATAGGAGAATGTTGTAAATCAAATTCGCGGAATCCCCCGACATTTCTCGCTCCCCATGACCCTATTACATTCTATTCTATTCGCCGTCGCTCACGACTGTTAAATTTTACTCACTAGGATATTGCTCATCCTCGTCATCGCATCGCTATCAGCCATGGCACCAAAGAGAGAAATTACAGTTTCTCTAAAGACGCCCATGCCCAAAGGCTACTCGTTCCTCCCCAAGGGGAACCAGTACAAGACCCTACACTGCCGTCGTCTAACCCACGAAGCAGGAAAGACGCTCTTCGTTGTCGAAGATGGTAGGAAAGCCGTCGGAATCCGGGTGCCCAAGTCCATCTTCTTCCATGTTCAGTCGCTCGCCCGCCAGACGCTGTCCTCCCGCATCGCTGCAACCGAGAGACGCGATGCCAACCTCATACATCAAGCCCAAGCCGAGTTAACCATCCTGTTCCCGAAGATGCCGAAGAACGAGACCGAGGTCGTATTGAAGCGAGCATTCCGAAAAAACTCCGGGAGGGTCGGTAGGACAACGCAGATTAGCATGAGGAAGAAGGTGCAGCTGGCTGTCATCGCTCATATCAGGCACGTCCATACTCAGTATGATCAGCTGCTGGACAATGGAATGGAGAGGGAAGATGGGAGGAAAGCAACTTGGAAGGGGGTGCAGGATGTCCTTCGGCAGTGGAGCTCAAACGCAGGTAAGAGATAGTTGTGTCCATCCGCGTGGACAAGGGACTGACCCTTGGCTATAGACTACTCATGGTACTCTGATAATCTTGTCAGTGATTCTAGTGACTGAATGAGATGCTGGGCGCGTGGTCGGCTTGAGCAGCACGATTAGCTTGAGCAGGACTGAGTCGCAATATGAGAATTGGTAAATGAAACTGAGACACCTCGTTTCGGACCCGAAAGTTGATTTCAAACCCCATGGACAAAACTCAGGTTACCCAGACGGACGAATCCGATATCTTGCGGATTCACCACACCAGGACGAACGATGATCCGGTCGGCGTTCGGAATATTGTCACCCACCGGCCCTGACAAAAGCACCATTGGATCGTGTCATCATCACACGCTAACCTTGGTTCGTATTCCTCGGAGGTGTTTGCCCCTCCAACTTCCAATCACCGCTGCCTACACAGGGCACAGCTTCAGTCCTTCGAACAAACGCGTCCACTGTTAAGTCCGCTTTTTGCAACGCAATGATGTATATCGCACCGTTGATGCACCAATTTTCGAGTCGGACTTAACGCCAATGACCGCGATCATGGTATGAGCGGTGGAAAGTCAGGATATAAAGTCTGACGGCGCGGTCTTGTTACTTAGTCTTCTAAACCAGAACTCTATCAGTTTTCATACAAACTCGTCTCTAGTACCCACTCACCAACTTTCCTCTACTGTCAAACCAGAGACATTCCCTATTTCACCATGGCCCAATACGCAAGCCAACAACCCTCTAACTTTAAGAATCGCATTGAGAATATCGCAATCGTTGGTGTATGTTCATTTCTAGTTCAATTTTTCTGCCCCAAAAACTGACCAGCAATAGGCAGGCGGACAAGTCGGCAAATTCATAGTCGACAAGCTCCTCGAGAAAGGCAGCTTCAAAATCACAGCCATTTCCCGCGAAGGCAGCACCAATACTCCCGCTCCTGGCGTCCATGTCAAGACCGTAAATTACGACAACCCATCTACCATCGTCACGGCCCTCAAAGGCCAAGATGCTCTTATCATTACCATGGCAGTGACCGCCCCTCCTCAACAATCCGCCGTGATCATCAAGGCAGCCGCAGAAGCGGGAGTTCCCTGGGTTCTCCCAAACGAATTCGGCACCGACGGAGCGAATGAACAAGTGCGCAGCGATACTATGATCGGTATTGCCAAGAAGAATGACCGTGATCTCATCGAGCAACTTGGCGTAAGTTCGTGGGTTGGTATCGCGTGCTCCTTCTGGTATGAATACTCTCTGTCTACTCCAGGATTCTACGGCATCAATATTGCGACAAAGGAAGTCAATTACTTCGGGGACGGCAATCAGCGCATCAACACGAGCACCTGGCCTCAAACCGGCCGTGCCGTCGCAGAAGTCCTCAGCTTACCCATTCTTCCAAAGGATGAAAACGACAAGAGCGTCACGCTCTCCAGTTACCGCAATGAATTCGTCTACGTCTCTTCCTTCGCTCTCACCCAACGAGAGATGTTTGAAGCAATCAAGCGCGCCACTGGAACTTCAGATTCCGACTGGAAGATTTCCTCTACGCCTGTGAAAGAGCTTTTCGAATCGAGCAAAGCGAAGGTCATGGCAGGCGACCGCACAGCTTTCGGTTTGATGCTGTACTCGCGTATGTTCTTCCCAGATGAGCCGGGGCACTTTGAGGCAACCCACGGGCTGGATAACGACAAGCTCGGGTTGCCGAAGGAGGATTTGGATGAGTTCACGAAGGAGGCGGTCAAGCTATCGGATGAGGGGTATTTTTTAACCCTTATGGCTAGGTTTCGAGGCGGGGGCAATTAAATACCAGTGGTGTTCTTGGAGGGAGGATCCTCCACCTCCATAGAGGGATCTAGAAATTGGAGGAGGAAAAGGGCCCTTGCAATTAGCCAAGACAAGGTACCCATGATAGTACACTTCTCATAGCTGAAAGGCTACTTTTAGCTCTAGCTTCAAGAGGCATGCAAAAGAGGAACGGCGAATTAGAATTCGCACTTATTAATATTCTCTTCCCTCTATGTCTGGAAAGGCCCTCCATGCTTTAGTAGTAGGTGAATACGCCCCCCCTGATAACCACTGTTAGACGCTTCGTGGTATTCGGAAAGGAAATGAATTCTAACTAAGTTTCGAATCGCGATGTTTCTGCGACAAGTGCCGGAAGTTATAATTATTTCAAAGTCTCGTTCTTCGCAAAGCGCCGTTCCCTTGTCCTTACCTGCTGGTATTAAATCGCAATTTTATTTGCCTTGATTTATACAAGTCTCTGGCCCAGCACCTGCAATTCCACGCCCCAAAAACAAGGCGGCTTGACAATGCTACCCGAATAGGAAGATAATCGGAGATGGGGTTGACCGGGGTGTAATCGCCGACTGAAGTGGGTCTGAGATGAGGCGAAGCCGCCGTTGCAGCAGCGCTCGACCTGAATGTCGCGATGCCAAGTAGAGCTAAAGTCAGCCACCATCTGCTGCGGCCTGAAATTCTAGAAGCTCACCTCCATGACTTCTCCCCTCCGGTACCTTGCTTGCTGCGGATTGGCTCATTAACTTCCCTTACAGGGCTTTATACGATGTTTAAAATTTCGAAGTTGCAGGGTGCCGCTTGGCATCCAGCCTCCTCCCAGCCGTCCACAGACAACAGCGCAGAGAACAGTGTCTCATTGCAGCAAGCCACCGCAAGCTGTCGCCATCGCCGTGTACGGAAATAGAGGGTCAAGATTTGAAGGCCTACTAGGCATGAAATGCACTCAACATATAATAAGGATGTCCATCTTCACCCTCTAACTATCTATCATCCCCATCATTTCCTACATTCCTCATTTCCTCAGTTCGCAATTTTCTTTAACAGTTTCTCAAAGCATTTCATACAGACGTTCGCTTTCTCTTGAAGTCTTTATTTACGGCGACCACTTAATTCCTGCAATCATGCGTTCAGTATCCATATTGTCTTTCCTAGCTCCCGCTCTCCTCTCCGGTGTCTCTGCAGCCCCGTTCAACAACGGTGCTGCATGTGGCCTACCTGCTAAAGTCACTACCTACGTGACTGAATCGCATTATACTCCTCCCCCCGAGCCTCCGACCACGTCTATCTCCCCCCCGGTATCGACCTCACTTCCTCCTACCGCAACCACATCCATTTCTCCACCAGAATCGAGCTCCACATCGAGCTTTACCTCAATACCCGTATCAAGCTCGACTTCGCTACCCGCATCAAGCTCTACCTCGACACCCGGGCCGAGCGCTAGCTGTCGTCCAACATCATGGACCAGAGAGGGCCACGCACCTTCTGTAGGCAAGCTTCGGGCTGCACTCATTTTTGTGGATTTCCCGGACATGCCCGCCAACACCAGTGTCTCAGAGCTATACTCGCTCGTCGAAACTGCTCCCGCTGAATTGTACAAGCAGATGTCGTACGGCAAACTGGAACTCGAACTAGTACCACTGCTCGATAAATTCTACCGCATGCCCGCAGCGTCGTCGTCGTACAACTACAGCCGCGCGCTCACGACCGAAGCCCACCTCAAGTACATCAACGACGCGCTGACTGCTGTCGGCCCGTCAGTGAGCTTTGCCGGGATCGACGTCCTCTACGTGCTTCCCGCCAAGTATGCATCTGAGATTTCTACGTCCACTGCCACCAGTGCCGACGTCACTGCACTAGACGGTACAGTCATCGGAAACTCAGTCACGTTCGGACAGGACTTGTACTTCAGCTGGGGATACAAGACAGTAAACCATGAGACAGGCCACACCTTAGGATTGCCCGATTTGTATCCCTATGTTGGCGGCACTGTGCCTCAGTGGGTCGGCGGTTTCGACCTCATGGGCCTGATTGGTGGACAGTCTCCAGACTACCTCGCATGGCACAAGTGGCAGCTGGGCTGGGTCGCGGACAACCAGGTCGAGTGCATCGCCAGTGCCGGTAAGACCACGCACCGCCTCAGCCCAATCGAAGTCGCAGGCGAGACGACAAAGGCCATCGCCGTGCCACTCAACGGCACCGCCTACCTTCTTGCTGAAGTCCGTTCTGGCCTGGGCATCGATGCTGGCGCTTGCGGTACCGGTGTGCTTCTGTACACGGCTAATACCGCGGTTTCTGGTGGCAGCGGACCCATTCGCGTTATCGATTCCAAGCCAAATTCTAATGGCTGTGGTAACAACAACGGTGGAGAGCTGAATGATGCTCCGTTGGCCGTCGGAACTTCCTTTAATACCGGGTTAGGTGTGGTAGTTACCGTCACGGGACAGGAGGGCGATGATTATATTATTGAAGTGGAGCAAAGGATTTAGTAGTTGGGTAGAATATCTGACTTTGAATTTTAGACTTTCTTGTACATACATACGGAAACTTCATTAGATACTGTAGAATATGCCAATAACGTAGAGTGGTTTAGGATGAAATTTGCGCTCTCCATACTTCCTCATGGCTGTAAAATATTCATCCTCATTCCTCAGCAAATAACATCCTTCAACGCACATCGTAAAGCTACGGATGCTTCCAAGGGCGGACAAGACCGGACATTTCCCCGGTCTTAACAGTCGTCACTCCGCTTTCACGTACTAGAGGCCCAGCTAAGGCAAATAATTACACAGTAAAGTCATCATTGCCGCACGAGAACAAAATTTTATTAGTTTGTCTGACAGTTGTATGTTAATACATTTCCTGGAGTGTGCACTCCGCATTGCTCAACCGGGGGCCTGAAATGCGGGATTGTGGCACAGGATGCGGGATGTAAGCGTAGAGGGATTAAAAGAGCGATGCATGCACTTATTGAAACCTGCAAAGATTAACTAGACTGGGACGGTCCTAGCAATATTTGCGAGCCTCTCTAAGTATTCCGCAGTTACTGAGAGGCAATCAGTCATCGCGGTCCTGGCTGAGATTCTCCCCATCTAGAAGGCTCCTCTTTCTATTCGTCTAAGCCAACAGTTCCCGCCTCTCTAACATATAATACATCCCCATGTATGACTTCATAATCATAGGCGGCGGCACCGCAGGGTCCGTCCTTGCATCCCGACTCGCCAAACCCCACAACTCCAACCCCTCCACTAGCCCCTTCCACATCCTCATCCTCGAAGCAGGTCCCAATACCGCCAACCACCCACACACCGCCATCCCCTGGGAGTCCGCCGCTCTCCATGGCTCGAAGTTAGACTGGAACTATCGGACTGTGCCGCAAGTCCATCTCGACGGAAAACCGCGGTACAATTGCGCCGTTAAAGGTCTGGGCGGCGGCACCGTGATAAATTCCGGTGGGTGGATTAGAGGAGATCGACGAGATTACGATGACTGGGCTAGAGTGGTGGGAGATGAGCGGTGGAGTTATGAAGGGATGTTGAAGTATTTTAAACGGAGCGAGAGGCATTGGGATAGTAGTGTTGATGCCGGACAGCATGGTTTCGAAGGCCCGATTTATAATTCTTCTCCGAGTTCTTCGGGCAGGAAGTATCCGCTTAGAGAGGAGATTCTGGAGGCGTGGAAGAGTTTAGGCTTTGAGGAGAAGAGGGATGGGAATGATGGGAATCCGCAAGGGATTGCCGAGTTAGTGGAGAATTGGAGGGAGGGGAGGAGGCAGATTGCTAGTCAGGCGTATGGGTTGGAGGGGGTGGAGGTTGTTACAGATGTATTAGTGAGGAGGGTTATGCTTTCGTCTGAGGTTGAGGGGACAAGTGCACAGCGGAAAGCGGTTGGGGTTGAATGCGCAGATGGAGCGACATATCTCCTCAAGCCTGGTGGAGAAGTCGTTGTGTCTGCGGGTGCGTATCGAACGCCGCAAATTCTTCTACTCTCTGGGATTGGCGAACCAGCGGAGCTAGATAAGCACGGGATTAAAACTGAAGTCGAGCTCCCGGATGTCGGCAAGAATTTTCATGACCATATGATCGCATACAGATACTGGAAACTCCGAAACCCGGACCGAGGGCTAGCAGCTGGGAGTCCGCTATTCAACGACCCAGCATACATTAAGGGTGGTCCCCTAGATTGGCTTGTTTCGATTCCCGTTTCAGCCGAAGGATTGCGAACTGCAATTGCGAGAGATGAGGGAAATTCTGCTGAAGTGTTGGATCAACATCCACTCGTCAAGGGTCCGAGAACTCACGTGGAGTTGAGCGTGTTGTATGCGGTCTTCGGGGGAGAACAAGTTGGGTTGAAACTTCCGGTTGACGGGACCGCTATTATGACCTTTCTCATGCCTTTCTTGCCAACATCCAGGGGCTCAGTTACCCTCCGCTCGGCTCACCCGGAAGATTCGCCGGTCATTGATCCAAACTACTATGCTACGGAAACGGATCGGTATGTTGCACGGGAAGGTTGGAGGACTCTTTCCCAGTTGATGCAGAAAACCCCGCAAGGGAAGGGGATCGTATCAAACGAGATTGTCCCAGAGGGCTATGGAGTTGACGACGAGGAAACAGATGGAGCAATTGACGCAAGATTGAAGATCGGTGGTGTGACAGCGTTTCATCCTGCTGGAACAGCCAGCATGGGAAAAGTTGTTGATGGAAGCTTAAAGGTGAGAGGAGTAGAGAGCTTGAGGGTTGTAGACGCAAGTGTTGTGAGTATCTCCCATGGGTGAGAAGAAGGATTTAGTGGATTTTTTCACTGACGTTTCTAGATTCCGAAGCCGTTGGCGTCCCATTACCAGGTTGCGGTTTATGCGATTGCAGAGCAGGCCGCTGATATTATCCTAAGAGATCACAAATAGACTCTAACCTGATACATCGTGTTTTTTCAAAGCATCTCGCTCATTATTCCTATCAAAGTGGCAAAAGGAGTGCCTCCAGACGGCAAAAGTGGAGAGAGAAACTGAGGGTACAACATATCGCAACGAATGGTTCAGGTACAGGCCACAGGATGAAATCGAATTCAGAGTATTAAAATGCCATACTCAATTGTTGCATAAGCATGCACGGAAAGGAAAAGAAAAATATAGTGCTTCAACCCTCGATCAATCCATCTTGATGTTGAACAAGGTCTTTCTCGAATACTTCAAGCACTTTGATAGCTGAGGATCACTCGAGAGGGTCAGGCAAGAGCTCCCACCTTGGATTACGGGACTTCATAAAAAAAATATTAGTCAGATTCTCGTTCTTCGGAAGAGATTGGTAATGAAACGAGAGAGGCAAAGATCTGTAGAGGAAGGACTGGAAGGATATCACGAATTCCTGCTCGATCGACACGGACATTACGGAGGACTATATATATATATATATATATAATCCTCACTCTTCTCCCAGAAACCAGAAATGAAGTTGCCATCAAAGACCGATGCAGCTTTCACCAGCACCTCCAGTGCTGTCACTTGTATCTTGCGGATTGATTGCTTACACGTGGAGGCACAATTTCGACGCACACCCGATTCTGGCTGCACACGCCTGTAGCATCAACATCCGGACATTTTCAGTTGGTGCAAGATGTACGCCTCTATAACTGGCCACAAAATCACGGAGGAGAAGGCCGGAGGTGTAATGTATGAGTTGTATGGGTAGCGATCATTATCAAACCAAACAATGGGATAATCGCTTCCGGGACCTGAAATAGGCCGACAGAGCACTGGAATAAGGGGCTTCTGTTATTCATTCGGCCTTCAATACATGGAACTAAGGTCACCTATAGGCATTTGCGTTGGTGATAAGCCGGCTCAGCAAAGACCTGTCAACGAATTCTAATTGAGAGAAGAGATTGCTCGGGGCTGTCAGGCTCTGCCTTAAGCTCCGTTAAAAATGAGGTTTCCGTTCTAGACATTCTTCACTTCAGAGTTTGTTGACAGCTTCGAAGCCCTTTCTGGAGGGGATTACCATGATGAGGAAAGTTGCGACGAAGATAAAGATAGTGACGATCAGGTTAAAACGGGACTTGAGAATCGTTTCGGTGATTACGATTTATGAGTCATTCTATAGGCGCTTAAGCAATCGCCAGAACCGAATTGGTTGATCAAGCGCCTCATAGAGAAGGTTGATGACGGACTAGAAGAAGCACCTAGAGACCAATAACACGAGGCGTCGGGGATGAGGTACTTCAACCAACCATGCCCAGTGTTGAGGAGTTTCGGGTAGCTATGTGAGTGGACGAGACCTAAGAAGGGTTTTCCAAGCATGCCAGGAATTGCTTCAACGTGGCTATAAAAGCAATAGAGATCCAATTTTGGGAACGCTTTGCTGCAAAAGATAAACTTTTCAGACTAGAGAAGGGAAATCAGCATACAAAGCACATGTAATATGCATATATCGTCCTTCTGTACCTTTGCCTCTTGACCAAAGAGACTAACTTGTCAATGCCACCAACATGCCATCCGCACCGGACAGATGCTCGCACACCTCAAATCCCACGCTTCAAGGTAGTAAAAGATCAGGAATTGAGATTAGTGGTATCTAAAAGCAATTGTGTTCTTTCCTTTGATCAATAATCCTAGACTAAAGTTTCCAGAAAATAAGAGAGAAAGAGAAAGCTTTCTCAAACCTGCGGTTAAGGTTACGAATCATGATCTATGCGTTCCACTTCTAAGATAGCCAGCACGTCTACAGCAGTAAAGCTAAGTATGCTTGCTTCGAGAGATCTAATGTGTTAATGGGGGTCGAGGACTATGTTGTAGAAGAAGTTTGGTAGCACATAATATGTATGGTTGAAACTGCGGCGGGAGTTGGAATGTGTACCAGCCAAGGGAGCTACTGATTGAGTTTAGAATGATGTAGAGAGCAATCGGGCTAGTAAGGGATAGGAGAGATCAGGTGTGGAAACAAGAACGAACAAACGATGAGGGAAGCCAACCACCATGTGGACGACTGGGCGGATATATAATCGCTAGTGTCCGTAATGCAGATGACACGGGAAGGTAAGGGCTTAGATAAATTAGTTAGATTGATTGTGCATACTTAAAAGAACGCGATACGCTATAATTTCGCTCCTTCCTTCTTTTTGTTCCAGCCTTGCGCATCCTCTTTTGCCCATTCGCGTAGAACTTTGCGTTGGATTTTCCCACTCGGAGATTTCGGGACTTCTTGGATGAAGACGACACCGCCTGATAGTTGCTTGTGTTTTGCGACACGATCGCTCATCCAGCGCTCGATATCCCACTCGGTGGATGCTTCTCTGTGCTCGGATTTGAGGACAATATATGCTCGAGGAAGTTCTTCGTATTCACTAATGGGCAATGATTAGAAGTAGGGAGCTAGAATGTTTAGAGGTGATCATACAGTTGCAGGGCGCAGACCGCGGCATCTGCGACATGCTCGTGTTCTAGAAGTAAAGCTTCTAGTTCCGCCGGTGCGACTTGGAATCCTTTGACTTTGATTAATTCCTTCTTGCGGTCAACGATCCAATACAACCCATTCCGGTCTGTGATTGCGATATCGCCGGTTTTTAAGAAGCCGTCCTCATCGAAGGACTCTCGTGTTGCTTGGGCATTCCGCCAATATCCCAAGCACACATTCGGACCCTTGACATGGATCTCGCCCCTCTCACCAGGATTTACTTCTTTCCCTTCATCATCAATGAGCTTGATAGTTGCATTCGGGTCGATGTAGCCTACACTGCCGCTTCGGTCATCCCTTCCCCCAGGCACATGGAGGCAAGAGCATGTAACTTCAGTCATGCCCCACGTTTGCACAACTTTCAGATCGCATTTTGTGGAGACTTCGTTCTGCAGTTCTTTTGATAGGGGTGCAGCGCCACAGAGGATGTTTTTTAAGGAGCTAAGGTCGTACTCTTTAGTTTCTGGACGCTTAGCGAGCATGACAAGGACTGGGGGTGCGGTCTGAATATGAGTGACGCGGTGCTTCTGGATATTCTCGAGGAACTTGACATAGTTGAACGAGCGCATGAAGTAGCATGGGCTCAGTGTGCGAGCCGCGGCGACAATAGACCAAAGTTGACCGTACGCGTGATACAGGGGTAGGAAACCTAGCCAGCGTTCTTGTGGTCGAGAATCGGGCTGGTACGGCTGCTCAAGATTGCGCATATAGATACTCTGCTCCACGTTTGCAATGACATTTTGATGGCTAATCATGACGCCCTTAGGCAGGCCTGTGGTGCCAGAGCTGTAATTGAGTGCTGCGATAGTGGTTCGCGACTGGCGTGCATCTAGTGACACCCAATTCCAGGCATGGGCTTCTGAGGCTGACGGTAGGAATGAGCGCCAATCGCGTACGCCATGATCCCATGTGTCCGCTTCCTTGTCGGAGAAAAGATATATTCTATCCTTGGGGAATTTTACCTTCGAAGCTGCCTTGAGCAGTGTTGGAAGGAGAGACGGCTCAACGAGGATGGCCTTCGCTTCAGTGTTCTGTATCTGGTACACTGTCTCTGCACAGCATCAGCACCCTATTCTCGTATTCTCGTATTCTCTATATGTTTTCTTTACGCACCATCCACCCCATACGCCGGATTGCATCCGCTAAATATACACCCGCATCCGGAAATACCTAAATATGCGACAGGCACAAATATGTGGTTGTGTGAATACAAGAGCACCACATCCTGCTTCTTGAGACCCAGACCCTGCAGTCCAGCGCCTAATCTCTTCACCCATAGCAGTAGGTCCCGCGGGGAGAGGGCATTGGAAGGATCATCGGCGTCTATCCATATTGTCACGTCGGATGCGGGCTGGGAGGAGGGGAAGAGGTAAGTCAGGAGGTCGGTTGCGGGAATGTTAATCTGGAATGGGGACTGTGACGGCATCGCGACGGCTAGACAAGACACGTGAGGGTGAGGACTGGGAGAGGGGAGAAGGCATATTGAAGACAGCAGTGAATATGCTACCCAAGCTCTGCCGATCGGAAGGCGTGAAGCTTGGTGTCGACGCCAGTCGTCTGAACGAACTTAGGCCGAGGTGTGAAAGTGTGGGGTATGCACAGACCACTTGTTCTCCCCATCATCCCGTTAATCAACTCATACGACGCCACACTCAGGACGAAACTAATCTGCTTCCTGTGGCATTTCTACAGCCAGTGTGACTATCAATGCAAGTTGAAACACACCAAATTGCGACTAGCAAGCCTTAAACATGATTGGGTCTGTCACCATTAACTATGTGCACTCATCCTGCATTGTTCAGCTAGATGAATCGAGTCCCAATCATTCGGTCTTCCGTTTGCGATACCGCTACCCCACTGATTTCCCTCCACCCTAGAGAGCGTAAGTTTTTCCAAAGGGTGATGCAGAAATAGAGCCAAAATGGTTGGCGTTTTGACATTTAACCCTTCTGAATTTAGGTCTCGTACGGTTAGCTCATGATCACTTCAACTTCCACCATTCCATCGCCATAAAACCCGTGCCTCCTTCCTGCCATCATTACTGACAGCACACGATTGGCTACTTGCGAGTAGGGCGTGCAAACCTCGAGTCAACCTCAACAGCGCTACAAGCATTTCATCCGTCCCTATTTCATCGGATACGGCGTGACTGGGCTGTTACATTTGGTAACAAACTTTATTAATATTCATTGAATCTGATCTAACTTCCAGAAAATGGCATACACGATGATATATTCAGTCGAATGTCCAGGTACAAGCCCCAACGTTATACTGTAGGATGAAGCAAAATAAGTGCCCAAATACAACCACCTGGATATTGAATGATGCGCGCTTTATTTCATGGCATAGTGATTCAGAATCCCCGTGGCTTTGGCTCTCTGGAACCCGTGAGTATATCGCCCAGCACCTTACCTAGTTTGATCCATTCCCCTAACTAAGGACTACAGTTGGTTCAGGAGAACTATTCGGACGTTAAGTGGCCCGTTTGGGTGAGCAAGTGTTCCCGATGGTAACCCTACACAGGGCTAGTATCATTAAGCATATTCTTTCTCGCCAAGAAGTTGTGGCTTATTACTTCATTGCTTCATCCGAGAAATCTGGATTTGGCGCCATACCTTTATTCAGCAGCTTTATCGAACAGATGATTAGTGTGCTTTATGCTGTTAGCCTCGACTAACCGAGAGCAGTGATTGCAGAAGTAACTCGACTTTTCGATTATACCCCCTTTTGCCGGCTTTCGACGAGCTTTTTACATTGGTCTTTTCCCTTGCTTGAACACCTAGTAGGCCACGTTCACGACATCACTTACATTGTGGATGGGCTTGACGAGTGCTTACCCGTGGATATTGTAGAAATTCTCGGGTAGTTTCACGAAGCTGAGCAACTAACTGGGGTGAGATTTCTTATATCTAGTCGCGAGCATCTCCGCATCGATCGCACGATCTCCAACATAGCCAAAATACAGATAGGTACTGATACAAGCAGAGACGATATCAGAACCTTCATTGACTAGTATCTCCGTCGACTAAACCAACAGGAGAAAGTGATTGAAGAGGAATAACTACTGCAGGAAGTCAAATCCGAATTGAACGCGAAGGTGGATCGGATGTAAAGCAATAGTCTACACTTTGAAAGGCCCATCATGTTGATCGATTTCCAAGATGCTCTAGGCGCGCCTCCAAATTGATGCACTCTGGAACAGTCCCAACAGCCCTTGCTCAGCAGATGAAATTCGTCGTGCGCTGAAGACCCTCCCGAAAGATCTTAATGAGACATACGACCGCTTCCTAACGTGTATGAGCGCAAGTCCCTGATATTGCCTATGGGGCCCCAAGATTCTTCGTTTATTGTCGGCTGCCATTAGACCTTTTCAAGCCCGACCGCTCGTGGAGTCTCTATCTATTGACATTGAAACCGGACATGTCGAGAAAAACGAAATCCTTTCTCCTTTTTGGGGGTTTGAAAGCTAGATGTGGTCTCGTCACTCTGTCTGAGTCGACCTAATACGAAGAAGATTCGGATGGATCCTGTGAGGTTGTTTTGACGCATTATTCCGTCTTACAGTATCTAAAGCGACGCCAATGCGCCCACCGAATACCCCCGCATGGTCTTAACATGGACATTGCGAGGCTTGAACTTGGCCGGATCTGTGCTATGTATTTGTCAGGTTTCCGAGAAACGTGGCAGGACTCCAAATCAGCGACAACGACGACAAGACGTAAATTTATGTCAAGATCCACCTCTCAACCTGAGCATAGTTTATGTGATAGAACGGAATGTGATAAGAGAGAGGGGAGCTCTAAATGAATACTTTAGGATGCAGCATTTTCCCTTCCGACACCGGGGTGGTAGCTCGACATTACCGTCGCTATTTCTCTCTTGTGGGTTGGTATTTTAAAAGTTTAGAGCAACATAGACCTGTGATGAGGGGATGTGCTTCAACGTGCATGCGCTTCTTGCGAAGACTTCGAAACGGCTTAGTTGATCGTGCTATGTTACGTGAATAGAGAGGAGTTGCTCTAGTAATGGATGGTGGCTTGGTTTCTCGCGTCTTTAGTACGGTTTCTGGAACTTAGGTATGGGTTATTTGCGGAAGGGTAGTTAGAGAGGGGGCCCAGGAATGCTGAGATTTTGCTGAGGGAGTTTGAAGTGATGAAGAGATTTGTTCCCGTATTGATTCGGAGTCGGATATACGCATGCCCATACTATAATACACCATAATAGAAGCCACCAAATCGAGTTTTTGCCCTTACATTCGTCCATTGAATGCCCGCCCAAGCACCAGAACTCCCATTGTTCAAGTTTATCAGTCTTCACCCTCTCGCTCCATTACCTTAGCAAATTCTCATAACCCCATTCCCTCACAGCCAAAACTCAACCCCCATCTCCTCCCCCAACCTCACAACCCCATCTTCACCCCCATGTATCACCTTTCTGACCACCACACCAACAACATCCCTCTTACTCCCCGTCTGCACCTCCAACCCACTATCCCTCCTCATCCCATCCCCCTTCTCCCTAGCTTCCACCTCCCTCACAACCTCCCATAGCCCATTTCCAGCTTCCACCAACCCCGCACGCTTGTAACTCGCATTGCTCACCTCTCGCACCGCCGTCACGAAACCGATCTCCCCGCGCTCCAGCCCTAGCCACATCAACGTCCCGTTCCCCCCATTTCCATGGAGCACTTTTTGGAGTGCATCGTCTGGGTTCTTCAGCATCCGCACACGCATTTCTTCGGCCTCGATGGTGCCGATTTCTTCACCTTCGGCGGGTTTATTGACGAATAGCGTTGCGCCGAGAGAAGAAGTGAACAGGTCGGTGGCGGTGCGGAATGTCACGACGTCTTTGTACCAGCGGGTGCCGATATCATCGTAGTCGCGGTCTGAGAGGGCTGTGGGGTCAAGCGTGCCGGTGTGGGAAATGAGTTGGCCGACGGGGGTGGAATCTGCGGCGAGGGGAGCAGGGAGGAGAGCAAACTCTGGGAGAGCAGAGGGAGAGAGTGGGGATTTGACTGTTGGAGAAGTGGAGGTGGTGGCGGTGGTGGCGGTGGTGGCGGGGAGGGAGGTTTCCACTGATACACTCATCTTGACGGCCTAGTGTGAAAGTCAAGAAAGGAAAGAGAGAGGAAGTTAGGTAGCTTTGTATCCGAGGGTCTGATATCGAACTCAATAAAGGAAACTCAATTGAAGGTATATGTGAAGCTGGGCTGAACTGAAAGGTAAGCAATTGTGAGGGGTCAATAGCGCTCTTTATGTGATCTCATCGTGACTGCCGGACTCAAACCCCTCGCGTGCTACCACACTGTTTGCGGCTGGTTCCGCAGTGGTTCACCACAATCTGCTCAGGTCACGCTCATGTTGGGAGGTTCGTAAGTCGGTACCTGCGGCGCGGTGAGACCATGGATTGACCATGGCTGAGCGGTTGAATTGCGGTGGTGCGGCGATCAGGTGTAAGTCAGGAGTGGCGTGTTCACGGAGTGTTCCGAAGGATGACGAATTCGGGATACGGAGCGGTGAAGCCAGCTTGCCATTCAAATTGACACCTTGGGAGTACTTTGACAAAAATCATTGCGGCTAGTGTTCGCTTGGAGATATTGTGAGCTTGTCCGCAATAGTCGAGTTCTATGTTTTTCCAATTCAATTGTTCCTGTGTTTGGCTGTGCAAAATCTGTCGTAGCGGGGAGGGGAAGAGGGGAAGGGGAAGAGTCATAGCTCCAACGCCATCATGTCATGGTTCGACCAAGCCAGACTTCCTTCATTACATGACAATGGTCATTCGGGAGGCTGAATCTGAGGCTCCCTTCATTCTGTATCCTGATCAGGTGCTAATCTCCCCCCTAAACACCACGCATGCACACCGATTCTCTAATGTCGCATCCCTAACCCCTCCGTAGCTCCTTTATCCACCCACCCCACTTCTATCCATCAGAACCCTATCCCTCCAAATCTATACCTCAAGAACCCACCCCTTCAGAAAATTTCCGTATCCAACACAGCCATGTCGGCAAACTCCCCTACTCATTCTCCCCCTTCTTAAACCTCTTCCTTCTCTCTTCCTCCCTCTTCCTCTCCACCTCTCTAACTAGCTCGGGCGGGCTATCTTCGATAAGTTCGCTGTCCTGACTCAATCCACTCCACTTTGGCAGTCCATCTGGAATATCCATGACACGCTGACTATAGAACATGTGGCATCTAAGAATCCCATCCATTAGCTTCTCTTCGCCTCAAATCCGCCTAACCCCAAAATTCCTAGCAAATGCAATATCCAAAGAGACATATTACGGCTCACCTTGGTTTAAAAAGCGCCTTATCCCGATCCGTTTTCAAGTGGATCAAACTCGGAAACAGTAATATCATATTCCTGCCCTCATCCATAATCGGGGAGTGGCAAAACGAACACCGAACTTTACACGGGAGTTTGTGTTCGATGGATTTTTCTGTGGGATCGTACCATTCAAGATCGTGGTGGCCGTTGTAGAAGTTGATGTCGGATTTGTGGAAGATGGCGGCCCATTGGAAGGGTGCCGCTGATGGTTTTAGTTAGAAGAAATAGAACAGATTCGAGGTAGCTCAGCTAGTAAGCTTCACTGAGGCAGAAAATCGCTCTCCAGAACCCAACTCCAGAACCCCCCCCCCCAACACAATACAAGTAGCAAGCACAACAGAACAAGGCCAACCTACCGTGCTGCGTTTGACAAGTCGTACAATGGCAAAGCTTCGAATCTAGGGGCTCCTGTCTACTCAACTGATACCGCACGCGTCCACAATGGCAATTAGCCTCGTACTTGACATCGAAGTTGTCTTTTTTTTCGTGGATGCGGTATGGAGCTCGTTTCTTCCATTCGCTGAGCCCAGTGGTGCTTTCCCCGCGGGATTGGGACCTGTCCATTCGTGATGGTGATGGTGATAGGGCGGGAGAGTAAGCTGGGTGGTGTCGCGTGAGCAGGAAAGCTGCACAGCTTGATGTGTAGGCTTGGGGACGAATCGAAGTTGTCGGGAACTGGAGACTATGGAAATCAATTCGTGGAAAGAACATTAATCTCTCTCTCAAAAGCTCTTTATTTCATCGATGCTTTCTAGACAGCGATCACGCTTTCCACCCCATCGCCAGGTATTTATCCACTAGTGTTGGGATACGCGTTTTGACGTCACCATGATCGCTCGTCAACACCTGACATGGCATGCATGCCGATTCCATTCCATTCGAGACCGGGTCGATGGCGGGTTGAAATGCACGACACCAACCCCAAATCCCGACATCAGCAGTTCAGCTAGTCACGACTCTGGCTTGCAACATCTCTTCCTTCCGTCCTTCGTGCGCAAACGATGACAAAAGATCGCTGGCTATTCAGATACAGCACGACACTAACACATACACGCACACACACACACACACACACACACAGACACACGCATTCAATGCAGCGCAGGGAAACCTCAACCTATAATCAATCGCTCAACCAATCGCGTAGGACAACCGTGTCAGACCTTAAGTAATCTCTGCGCCTCCTTCGTACCCAGTCCAAAGACATTGATCAGATAATCGAGCCTGTGCTTCATGCATTAGCTTCCGTGCGCTTACCCCAAACCAGCTCAGATCAGATGCATTGAGATCAGACCAGATCTTGACACACACCCCACGATCCGGGATTCGGGTGTGTGGGATGGAGTGAGGCGGGGGTGGGGTTGCGACTTACTTGATATCCATAGCAATCCTCCGCTTCACCTTCTCAAACTCCTCTTCACACTTCTCCCTTGCTATGATCTGCCTTTTCGTACTTATCGTCTTAACTCTGATCTTAAACCGTCCACTCACAGGCCTGTGATCCGAAACTCGAACAGCGTCGTGTCGACGGTAGTCAACTTGTTTGATCCTACCTAGACCGCGGTATAAAAGTCGATCGCACCACGCCGGCGACCGCTTCTTGTCGCTCGTGTCGTAGTTATCGGTTCCGACGTCGTATTTGTACGTCGGTGCGAAGTTGATTGAAGCTTCATTGAAGGCGCGGAGTCTGAATCCGGGGTTGCGTTTTCGAGAGAGGAGGAGCTGGTCGCGATCGAGGAGTTTTGCTAGGTTACCTTGTTTTACTGCATCGATGACGGTATTGCGAGGCATGGCATCAATGCGGTAGTTTAGGTCGCCGTTTAAGATGCATATTTCATGGTCGAGGATCATTGACCCATCGCCACCTCCAACGAAGAAGTCGGCGCGGTCAGATGGAGAGCGGTTGCGAGGTAAAGCTTCCGCCTCCATGATGGCAGCGATATCGTTGTTACGATGAACTGTCTGGGTTTGGCCTGCTGCTAGATGGCAGTTAATGAAGCAGATGGAGGAGTCGTCGAGGAAAAACCGGACGATAAGAGCGCCTTTATTGCCGTGCAGACCGCCCATCCCAAGCTTGACTTGGGCGGCGCATACGTCTCGAACCTTTAGGTGTTCGGAGGTCTTGATGAAGATACAGGTGAATAGTCCGACTAGATTTGCGGTGTGTAGGAGGGTGTAGTTCTCTTTGGGAATGCGTTCCTCGAGAGACCGGACAAGGTAGTCTCTCCATGCTCGATACTGGTGGCTCATGTGCTCGTGGTCTGTCGCATCCTTCTTTTTAGCTTTCTTAAAGAAGCTCCCTATGGCTCGTTAGCTTGGCTGGAACTCTAGTAGCTCTGCTAACATACTGGCTGTGACTTTCTTGTCTTCTAGGTCCACCAACTCCTGGAACCCAAAGACAAGAACATCCGCCGGATCTTGAGGTTGCAGAAGATCTCGGAAGAAGTTGCGATTTTGTTCATCCTTCTGTAGACTGGTCGGTTTTGATGCACCTGCATTCCATGTCATAACGACGGCGGAAATTTCTCGGAAATCGCAATAGTCTGCATCGTGTTCCTGCATTTGGGATTCTAAGACTGTAAGTTAAATGCACGGCAAAGACGAATGAAGCAAACGTACCTAGCCAATCATCTCTTAACATCCCGTCCCAAATGCGTAACGTATTGTCCATGCCTAGCGATGCCACCTGCAACCGATCCAGTTTCCAGATGCTCGTCCGGTCGACATTGATTCCGGCGATCGCACTCTCATGCGCCCGCCAGTCTTTCATTACCTTCCACGGCGTGCTGCTTGTGTCATATACATAGATCATCCCCGTTATATAGCCTGCCCAGAGATGGTCTCCAACACCGACCAGTGAGCTGATCTTGTATAAACTGACGTTGACAACGCCTAAGCAGTTGAATCCCTTCTTAGCATAGATAGAGACCTTCCCATCAATGTGTCCAAAGTAAATTCTATCGGGCTGACTGCTGATTATTGCTCCAGAGGTGACTTCACCAACGTTTAATTGTGATAGAGCGCCTTGAGTTCCTTGTTGGAAGAAGCTGTTGTCCCCAGTGCGCTGGAAGACTCGAATCTCCTTCCCAAATGCCATCCATAGCTGCGTACCCGATATTATGGAGAATGTATGGCCCTTAGGAACGCGGAATGTATTTGGTGTTTGCGAAAGAGTCGGCGATCCTGTTTCATCGGGAGACCATATGTGGATCTTCCCTTCATCGTCTAATGACCACATCTCAGACGCATATCGATATATCTTGATGATAGAACATCGGGGATGTGCATTTGTTTTCGTGTACGCCACGCTTTGTGTTGGTATGTCGATCTCGTGCATTTCACCGATGTTCGTACCAAGCCATAACCGCTTGCCCTCGTCTTCGACATCTTTTGCCGGCCTAAAAGCTACCGATGTAGCTTTGGTGGTGTCTCCATGACTTAAACTCATCAGCAATTCGCCGTTCAGAAGACTCCATACTCGCGTCACATAGCCAGTTGTACATATGTACTCTCCACATATCGCAAACAGTTTCGTCTCGTATTTTGTTGGAATTTCGCGGGCCCCATCCTTAAAAATCGGCGGTCTGCGATTCGCCTGGGACGAATCTGGATAGTCGGCAAGAGCTGGCCCTGGTTTATCCACAAGAGTCTCCTCATCGGAGTCATAACTATAGGGGGTGGAGAGTTGTGCAGGCGTGGGTCTTTTCATCTCGCCAGAATTGCGAGGAGGAGGTGGCTTCGGAGGCTGTAGGGTCTGTTGAGTGGGTTGAAGGGTGGATACACTGGTACCTGCGAACGTCTGAGTTCGTTTGGGAGGTGGCATGAACTTGCTGTTGGTATCCGGGCCAAGTGCAGTGGGTCGGAAGGTGTCCATGGATCGTCGTACAGGTGGTTCGGGAGGTACAGGCCTTGAAATTACCATACTCTTACGAAGACTGACATTGTCCCGCCGCGGAGGTAGGCCAGGGCGATCTTCGGGCAGGTCCCCTACCGGCTGCGTGTGGACCGGCAGAGACTTCTTCAGAGGTTGGGTTCCTATGGCGCGGGCATCTGTAGGGGGGAGTTTTTCAGCTATGGAATGGTGCTTAGGGGGGGGAGGGAAGTAACCGTCCCGACTTGAACCATTGAACTTCGGCTTTGAGTGCTCTGGAATGCCTGGCGGGGATGACTCTCCTTTGATGCTGCTATCACTGCTGCTTGGTGGAGTGCTGAAAGGCGAAACTCTCTCATCCAGCCCATCTGTGGTAGAGTCCGGGGCTAGTGTTGACCGTGTTCCGGACTCAACAGCCGGATATTTGCCTAATATCTTAGGTTTGCCAGCACGGTTTATAGGCGGAGGAGCTGAGGGGGTAGAATTCACTGGCAGTGACCTGGGACTAAGCTCACGGTCCAAGGCGCTGCTTTTGCGGGGTTCGGCAGGCGTGGCAGCCACAGCATTAGGGGGCAGAAATGGGATTTGTTTTGACTCGATTGCAGGAGTAGCATTCCGACTGGGGATCTTAAAAGTCTTCGCTCCATTGGACTGCGGCGACGCTCCGTGTCCGGCGGGATCCAGGGCCGTATGAGAGAAAGTCCGGGAAGGAGTGGGGGAGTGGATGTGCGATTCAGAATGCTTAGGCGGAGATCGCGGAGACTGCACCATGACCTTTGGGGGCGATCTGCTGGTGGGCGACCTCGGGGGAGAGAGGGCCACCATTGAAGTAGGTCGTGATCGTGGGTTGCTCCACGGGGTGCGGAGGGTTCTTCCCCGCGGGGTTGCCAGACCAGCCCCGCTGAAGTCTGCATTCTGAGGTGTTGAGGCCCGTGACCCATTCTCCCTTGGGATGTCAAGCGACGTCCTCCCCTCCGTCCTCCGGTGGTCCTCGGGCATGGTGAGGCGGTCAGCGGCGCACGGCGAGGCCTGTCTTGGAGAAGCTGCGACGGGGGATTTGTTTGCGTTTAGCATATTCTCGAAATGGCTCCGGAGAGAGGAGACGGGCTTCTATGTCTTCTGTGAGAATTCATATTTGTAGGGGGAACTGGCCACTCACGATCGAGGAGCCATCGGTGCTCTCCTCGGTGGGGCGGTCCATGTTGGAAGCCTCCTCGTCAACCAACTCCAGGCTCGAGTTTATATATGCTCACCGACCGGCCAGAAGCAAGCACCATTGAGGCCAGCGCAGAAGTGTGAAAGAATGACGGGTATCTTGGGCCACGAAGAGGACATGTAGCGCGGGGGGTCCGCGGCGGTGAAGATGCAGCGAATGTCCGAGGAAGAATAGCAGTGAAAGATGCGCCACGCCTGTCCAGACAGCAAAGCGACCGTGAAGAGCGTTGTGAAGGCGTGCGATATGTTAAGAATGCTTGACAGGACTGGATACCGGATTCGGCGGGGAATGTCTATTAGCAGCCGAGCAGGAGTGTTTCAGCGCGTGGTGGTCCGGGGGGAGCACCTGCCACAGTCCAGGAGGGTCGAAGGTCGCACCGAGGGCAGGGAGGGAGTGTTGCGACGACGAGGGAGGGCAAAGGCCAGCTGGAGACTAAAGAATGGGCGCAGGCGGGAGTTCCAGCGAGGCCTGGATATGGGGCTGACGTCCGCATTCACATTATGACCACGCTCGGCCTTGGCTTGACCCATCCCGCCGCTGCAACAACCCACCCACTCCTTGCAGGACCCTGTCCGCAATAACACCAGCCAAGCCGCAGACGCAGGCACGCCAGGCACACGCGCTGTTTGTTAAAACTACTGCAGTCAGCGCTGCAATCCCCCCAAGCAATCATATTCGCGACAGCATGTGGTGAGTGCGAGAGGAGTGCGAGAAGGAGTGCGAGACCCCGCGAAGACCTCCGCGCTGATGCTCCGCAGTAAACACATCCTCAACGCCCAGGTCGCTATCCGCTCGCCGTGCTGTAAGCAGATATAGAAACACCCTTCTTCAGAATTTGGCTCACTGTCTGCCAAGGCAAAAAATGGTTTGACTGCGCAGAATGCCACCAGGAATCCGCCGACCATCCCCTGCTGCAGAGCTTTGATATGACCTTCGCCTGCAAAAAGTGCAAAAAGTGCTTCCGGAAAGATACGCGCGAGTTTGAGGAGAGGTGCGCCATCATGCCCAACATATCTTCATCAGCTGCATATTGACAATTGGTAAGCGACGAGTACTGCCCGCATTGCGATAACCACTTTGTCCTCGAGGCGAAAACGCCAAAGGCCTCGCTGCAGGTCGAGGGAGAGGATGTCCGGGTAGATTCAAGGATGCTCAAGGACGACCGGATTAAAGGTGAGGAGTTAAGGACAATATTTAATGTCAAGGACGCGGCGGACCGCTTGGGATGACGTTACCAAACCCACGAGAGTGTATCACATTAATAGACTTGGCGGCGAGAAAGACCTGCGAAACAAGGGCTGCGCTCCAGAATCAGATCCGACTACACTTTTAGAACCAGGCCCGGGAGTGCGCCAGATATGCAGTATATTGACTGGCCAGTACGTCTGGTATTGTACAGATCCCAAGAGGTCTACATCACCTGGACGCCGATGCTACTCATGTGCCTTCCCATCCCCGAACACCGCCCTCTATGACCCAGATGCCTCGCCAGATGGCCGCGTGAGAATTGCGGCAGTGCCAGTGCCGGGGGTGCGCCCTGGCCTCCTGCTTGCAGCCTCCTCCTGCTTCTCCGTGTTGATGCTCTCCACGTACTTCTCAATGTCCTCCACGGGCAGCATTTCCAGGGTCTTGCCCGGGGCCATGACCGCGATCTCTATGTTTTTAGCACCAGTCTGCACAACCTCCAGCAGTGACTTGACGGTGAGTTTGATGGTCTCCTCTCGGTCCATATCACTCTTGTGGTTTCGCTCGAGGAACTCGCGGACCGTCTTACTGGATCTGCCGATGGCATTTGCTTTCCTGTATCAATATTAAATCATGTCCATAGCACGTAGTTACATGAGCGCTCACCATGCAGAATAGATACCAGAGGGTTCGGTTTGGTACAGGCGAGGGGTCTCATCATTGGGGTCGAAGCCAACAATCAGAGTGCTGATTCCGAACGGCCGCACACCACCACTCTGCGTATATCGCTGCTGCACACCGGCCACATATTTTGTGATGTATTCTATCGAAACGGGGTCCTCGACGGTCAGACGATGCGACTGGGCTTCTAAGCGGGCCTTGTCAACCAGAATGCGGGCATCAGCGTTCAGGCCAGCGAAGGCAAGGGCGACATGGGTATCGACGAGGCAGATTTTCGACGGCGTGATTCGGGTATCCTGGAGCTTCATTGCAGATCGCTTTTCGCATCCGAGCACGACAATATCGTGGCCCTTCACGCCGACAGCGCAGGTACCTGGCACAGGTCAGCACCTTTGAATCTCGACCGAGAGAGTTGTCAGCATACCTCGCTTCACGGCCTCCAGGGCATACTCGACCTGGAAAACGTGTCCATCGGGACTGAAGACTGTCGTAAATTAAGCATTAGCTTGCGTTGGAGAGGCTAGAGATTGTTGCTTGTACCTGACAGAGCTCGATCGTATCCCGAGGCCATAGCGAAAAGCGAGAATTGAGGAGTTCTGGGGACCAAAGAGGAGCTGCTATATAGGATAGAGGGCGGAGAAGAGACGGCGCGGTAATGTGGGTGGAAAATGGTAGGCAAAGCTGGCGGTCGGAGCTGTTGGAGCTTCCGCGTCGTTGGTGAGCCTGGAATGCCAAGCTAACTGGGCCTGTGCCATCCCAGTCGCTGATGACTAAGATTTTGACATTTATCGTGAATGTCGACTTCGAAATTCGCTACCCCACTATCGCATTTGCCTTGTGTCAATGGCGACTTCATTTAGGTTCGCGGCCTCACTGCGGCGAGCATCACAATCGCCTCGGCCTGCACCTTGTCTTTCACGCTTTAGATCGACAGTCCAAGTACGATGGACCGGAAGTACATCGGCGACTTCTGAACCTCACCAGCCGGTTGAAAAGGGAATTGGGAAAGGTGGGGCTGCTCCCGCGAAGGTGATCAAATTCACATCCGAAGCGTAAGGCGCCCTTAATGAGCACCTTCGTCATACCCAGAACTTACCTTCGTTTAGGTATCCCGAACTTCAAAGAAATTCTAGGTTTGCCAAGCTTACCCAGGAACATGTGGACTATTTCCAAAATCTTCTTGGTGCGGAATCTGCAATTATTGATGGTTTGTCAAAGGATGCATCAGAGGACATCGAGCCGTTCAACAGCGACTGGATGCGCAAGTATCGTGGTCATGCCCAACTTGTACTAAAACCTCAATCCACCGACGAAGTGAGCAAGATCTTGAAGTATTGCAATGACAATCTGCTTGCTGTAGTTCCGCAAGGTGGTAATACTGGCCTTGTTGGGGGCTCTGTCCCGGTCTTCGACGAGATCGTGATAAATCTCCAGAAGATGAACAATATCAGATCGTTTGATGAGGTGTCTGGCATACTTGTTGCTGATGCTGGAGTTATCCTAGAAGTCGCAGACAACTTCCTTGCCGAGAGGAGGCATATCTTTCCATTAGATCTTGGAGCAAAAGGATCTTGCCAGATTGGCGGTAATGTTGCAACAAACGCAGGTGGACTTCGCCTTCTTCGCTACGGCAGTCTTCACGGCAATGTCCTGGGAATCGAGGTGGTTCTGCCCGATGGCACCATCGTGGACGATCTCTCGAAACTCAGGAAAAACAACACTGGATACGATATCAAGCAACTCTTCATCGGAGGCGAGGGCACGATCGGAATTATCACGGGAATCTCAATTCTCTGCCCTCAGCGCTCTCCCGCCATTAATGTTGCATACTTCGGACTTGAGAGCTACGAGAAGTGTCAGGAAGCCTTCAAAGAAGCAAAAAACCAATTGTCTGAAATCCTCTCTGCCTTTGAGCTGATGGATGGACGGACCCAGAAACTAATCAATAGGGCAACAGGCAAGAAGCTTCCTCTTGAAGGAGAACATCCCTTCTTCTGCCTAATTGAGACTAGTGGATCGAACACTGATCACGATAATGAGGTTTGTGAGCCATTTTTGAGGTGACCGTTTCGCTGACAAATGCAGAAACTCCAATCGTTCCTCGAGCATGTCATGGAAACCTCGATAGTTTCCGACGGCGTGCTGGCGCAAGATCAAACCCAGATCCAGGAGCTCTGGTCTTGTCGAGAAGGGATCCCTGAATGTCTTGGCCACTGGGGTGGCGTCTATAAATACGATCTATCGCTGCCAATTTCGGATATGTACGATCTTGTTAACGACGTCCGGGATCGACTCATGAAGGCAGGGCTAGTCGGAGACGAGGATTTCCACCCAGTGGTGGATGTTGTAGGCTACGGGCATATGGGTGATGCGAACCTTCATCTCAATGTCCCTACTAGAAGATATGATAAAGAGGTGGAGAAGCAGCTGGAGCCGTTTGTGTATGAGTGGGTGCAGATGAAGAATGGTAGTATTAGCGCGGAACACGGATTAGGAATCGCAAAGAAACCCTTTATTGGATACAGCAGGAGCGACACGATGATTCGGCTAATGAAGCAGATCAAAGATCTCTATGATCCTGTTAGTTATACTTTCTCCCAGATTGACCTTTTCGATGCTAACATACCCCGCAGAATGGGATCATGAACCCGTACAAATATATATAGAAATTCATTTTAAGCGTCAAATGATCTACAAGGCTGCGGACCTCCTCCTCCCTTTCTTACGTCGACCATTTAAACATTAGCCCTCTTCATCCCGCTGGATTCCAGCAGCTTTATTATGTTCTGTCGGTAAATGGAGTCTCGTTTTTCTTCTTCTTTGTACAAATTTTCCAGTCCGTCTTTCATTCGCTCCGCAAACGCCTTCACGAATCTTGTCCGGGTGAAAGGAAAGTCGCTCCCGTACAATAGCTTTTCGTGGCTAATTTGATGGCCCTCGACCAGCGCCTTCAATTGCCCCTGGCCGCCCTCAGGTCCGTCAAAAACCAAACCGGCCAAGTCAAAGTAGAATTGAGTCACCAGCTGTCTGTGAGCATCACGCGGCTCAACCTTCTTTCCACCGGGAACTAAGTGGGAGAACTGTACACATCGGGTAAAGAGAGGAGGCATGCAGCCCCCAGCATGAGGAATGATGAATCTCATGTTCGGACAACGTTCAACGGTGCCACTCAGGAATAGGTGAACTACAGCGCGTGCAGTATCAAATAGAAACTCGAACATTGGAATGGGATAGTGATCTCCGAAGGGCAACGCGTCAATCGTTTCCGCGGAATTTGTTCCTGGCTGGCAATTTACGCACGGCTTCGAAGGATGAATAAATACCGTCGCGCCAACCCGATTCAACTTCTCAAAGATAGGATCAAACATCGGCGCCCCGATGTAGTTCCCATGGTAATTCGTCATCAAACCAAACCCATCAGCACCTTCATCAATCGCAACATCAATCTCTTTCAGCGCAGCCTCGACATCCGGAAGCGGCAGAGAGGCCCAGAATCCGAATTTATCGGGATACTTGCCTTTCAATCCCGCGGCATACGAATTGCAGTGTCGGGTTAGATTTCGGCCGAGCTCGTCCTCTCCGGGAACGATGTGTGTTCCGGGTGAACTAACACTAAGAATGGATTTGGAGACGTTGCAGGATGACATCATGTCTAGGTGGGCTTCGACGGACCAGGGTGGGATTTCAGGCATCCCGTCGACTTTCTCGTGGCCGTTATTCATGAGCGCGGCATGGTAGTTTGGGGGAAGGAAGTGTGAGTGGACATCTATTCGTTTTGGGAGTGGGTTGGTCATGGTTGCGTGGAAGTAGGCAGATTGTTCACTCGGCGGGACTTGATGGCTGACACAATAGTGAACGGCAAGACTCAGTTTATATGCTATTTTAATAGATTGGAGCGGACCACTCATAGTAGTATTCGGACCCCCATCGGGCCGAACATGAGGACGAATTGCACATACGAGATCATCACAAGCATGTGGCTGGTGTGGCTTGAATGCGCTGATCGATATGCCCCACATTCCTTCTTTGCTCCGCGTGCCTCTCCGGCCCACACTTCCACCTTCACTTCACCTTTTTCTGCCATGACACACCCACCTGTCCTCCTCTTCCCGGCACCACCAGCTTGGGCACATATTCATTGCCATGGAGAAGGTTACGGATAAGATTAATGCCTTGCCTGAGGGCGCTAACTACTTCTCACTGGAGTTCTTCCCTCCGAAAACATCCATGGTGTGTAGCACATTAAATAAGTAATACAACGTCATTGACATGTCTGCAGGGCTTTGCGAATCTTCAATCCCGCCTCGAGCGTATGTCCCAGGCTCTGCGTCCGCTCTTCGTCACCGTGACTTGGGGTGCCGGCGGTTCGACAGCTGCCAAGTCCCTTGAACTTGCTGAAATCTGCCAGCGTCAGTTGGGCTTGACGACATGTCTGCACCTGACATGCACCAACATGAGCCGCTCGCTTATCGATGAAGCCCTCGAGCAGGCTAAGGTCTTAGGGATTCGGAATATCTTGGCGCTACGCGGGGACGCACCCCGCAGTGAGGAATATCGCAACGAAGCGCAGTTGTTGGAGGGCGACTCCAACAAGGACTTCACGTGGGCCATTGACTTGGTCCGCTATATACGGAAGCAGTACGGAGATTACTTCTGCATTGGTGTCGCGGCATATCCGGAAGGTCATTCTGATGAGTCAACCCCGAATCCTGAACATCAAGATCCTTTATTCGATTTGCCGTATCTAGTTGATAAGACAAAGGCTGGTGCAGATTTCATTATGACACAGCTATTCTTCGATGTCAAGGCTTTTGACACATTTGAGAAAATGTTGAGGGAGCATGAGTCTGGCGTTTTCAAAACGATACCCATCATCCCGGGTTTGATGCCGATCCAGAGCTACCAGATATTACGACGGACGACAAAGCTCAGTCATGCCAAGCTGCCCACGGATATTTTGGGGAGGCTGGATGCCGTCAAAAGCGACGACGAGTTGGTAAAACAGGTCGGAGTGCAAATCTTGAGCGAAATGGTTGATCACATCAAAAAGCGCCCTAGCGTAACACAGCGAGGCTTCCATTTCTATACGCTAAATCTCGAAAAAGCCGTCTCCCACATTGTCGAAAACACTCATCTCATCCCGCCAACGCTAATCGAAGACGATGAAGAAGCTATTGCCTCCCTGACTCCTGGCAATCCATCCCCTCCAGACGGTGCCATGATGAATCGTGATCGTCGTCGCCTCTCATCAATTAACTCTAGCCCGCACAACCGTGTCATCATCTCACGACCTGCTAAATCCAGCAACGTCAGCTTCGAGGCACCTGAAGATGAGGCTGGCATTCTCAAGGGCCCCATCAGCACTAGAGCCAACACGCTCGCCATCTCAGAGGGCGAAGGCTCGCTCGGCAGAGAAGCAACATGGGACGACTTCCCCAACGGCCGCTGGGGCGACGCACGCTCTCCCGCATTCGGCGAAATAGATGGTTACGGCCCAACTCTCCACGTGTCCACTCCCCAAGCTCTAAAACTATGGGGCCATCCTGTCGACAAAGCCGACATCTCAACTATCTTCCGTCGCCACATCACCGGCGAACTCGACGCAATCCCCTGGTCCGAACAAGGCCTAAGTCCAGAAACGAGCACCATCAAAGACGAGCTCCTCGCACTAAACAACAAGGGCTGGTGGAGCGTAGCATCTCAACCGGCTGTCAACGGGCTTAAATCCTCCGACCCCGTGTTCGGCTGGGGTCCTCGCAACGGCTTCGTCTTCCAAAAACCCTTCGTGGAGTTCTTCCTCCCAACATCCGACTGGGCAGTCCTGCAACCCCGCCTTGAAGCCCAAGAACAGATCACATACTTTGCGGGGAATTCCCAGGGCGAGCTTGTGGGGAATGGTGAGGGTAGTGTGAATCCGGTTACGTGGGGCACGTTTGCGGGGAAGGAGATTATCACACCTACAATTATTGAGAGGGAGAGCTTTAGCAGTTGGAGGGAAGAGGCATTTAGTATTTGGAAGGAGTGGCAGAGGGTTTATCCGCCCGTGAGTCCGTCGGCGAGGTTGTTGGGTGCAGTGAGAGAGGACGTTTGGTTAGTCAATGTTATTTGGGGAGATTTTGTTAAGGGGAGGGAGTTGTGGGAGTTTTTGATGGATGTGCAGGGAGTTGCAGAGGGGAGGCAGTGTGTATAGAGGCGGTTTGGAGTGAATTGAGATGCGGGGGGCTGGGGAAAGGGGTTGGGATGATGGTTGGGGAGATTGTGAGCGTTTACACTATTGGCAAGGCTCGTATCCGCTCATGTTCCATTTCTAAATTGGGCAGATCTGATTTGCAAGAGATCGTCATCAGGCCCATCTCATATAGCTTTTATTTACAGTTTCTTACCCTTAGAAAATTCGTCGTCTCCCCATCCTCTCGTAGGCTCGTCGTCCTAAAACAAGACACTAATTTAGGATACGCTATCTCTTACTATCCTTCGATCCAGATTCCGCTTCTCTGCCAAATTGGAGTAATCATCCTGAATTCTCAATAATTCGCCAGTCTTTGCAAAGGCGGGCGTTCTTCTAAGTCAGCAATCGTTTTCACACTCCGTAATTGGTTTGCACGTGGGGAACACATCGGGGATAGTGCAGTAGTTTGTTTCAACCTTCCAGCCCCAACCTAGAACTCGCTCATCCATCGTCGACATCTAGGTTGCTACATGCATGATCATGATCTGGACGGTTGATTAGGCCCTTTTCTCCAGTGTAAGAATTCTAATCTCGCCTCCAGTTTTCTACGGCGGGTGCGGGGAATCTTTCGGTAAATCTCCTCGTTTTCTACTCCCGGCACTCCCAACTCCCGGCAAATTCTCCGCTACCCGAGACACCTGCATCGGCCAAAACCAAAGACGAACGCCGGAACTACTGTGCAACGTTTGTGAAAGCGAGGGAGCCAGCGCCATCGATACTCCACGAATGCTGGCATCAGCTTAGGATATCCTTGTTTCTCATATGAGGTACGGCGAGGGTGAGATATCTGTATCCTAAACACCCAAGGATTACCTTAAGGAGAATTGGAGATGGACCTTTTTGAAACAAGTGATTAGATACCAATGAGATGGCTACTAAATGCACCAGTTTCCAAACAAAGTACTGAGAGTGAACACTAATAGTGGTGCGGTTTCTGCATCCAGTTGTGCAGGGTTTCGTTCAGCGGAAGCTCGAATGGCTTTAGAAGAACACACCACCCACCAGTCTAATCATCCCACGTCTACAGAAGAAAGATGCCATGCCACAACATGCATCTGTCGGCGTTCCACCATATTCAGCCAGCCTCCATCTCCCTCACAAACCCCTCTCTTTCTCTAACCACCCCATCAAAACACCTAGCATAAATCTCAATATCTATTTCAGCTCGACTCTAAGGCAAACCGCCCAGCATCTTACGTCAACGCTGCTGAAAAACTTGTCTAATCACTAGCATGCGATATAGATCGACCCGTTCCCGGCTGTTAGCGCCAAGAGAAACGTCTTACGTGTGAACATTACAGAGCCAGGGTAAGGATGCTCAACGGCTGAAGCTGTAACTTTTTGACTCCCGGCACGGATGTGGGGATTGGGATTTGGGGAAGTGGGCACGGAGATGGATGGATCGATGGTTCACTGCTAATCTCGAATGTTCATTTTCATAGGTGTCTTGGGAGGTCGAGGAAGAATATAACTAGCGCTGGTTGCCCCTTATGATTGCTTGTTTAGACTGCTCTTCATTGGACTTCCGAGAAGTTTCTTTGATAATTCAATACTTGGTTCTATACGAAAGAAAGGTATTGAAGTTTCAATGTCAAATGGCGGAGCTTCGGACATCTCAAAATCCAGGGCTAGGAAGCAATGAAGAAGGAATTGTACCATCAAGTAAGTCCTCAGAACGAACGAAGGGTATAGATATATGCTAACTGCTACTTACTGCCATCCAGAGCCACAGGACGAAGATACGAAGGAGCTTTGTCTTCCGGCTAGGAATACCAGTACCAATTCCAATACTAGTATCCACCCCGCAACCTCGACCACCAACTCGGACGTAATTACAACGCAAGACGAACAGCCTCTCAAATCGGAGGCTGAAAATCTAGAAGAGAAGATATACGAGGTGGTCGCCCAGACGTCCTCCAGTCCCGATGACACAACGACCACCACCTTCATCCCCGATCCTACGCTCAGCCTACCGGGTTGGAGAAAGATCGCCATAGCGACGTCTTTGTGTCTGGTAGCTTTCATACTGGGTTTTGAAAGTAGTATTACTAGTGCGCTTGTTGGTCCTATTATCCAGATGTGGCATGTGGTGCCGCCGCTTGCTTTGTTGAACGTATCCATCTTTTTGAAGGTAATTTCCCCCCTTTCATTTCACCCCACCAATCCTCCCAAAATTTAAAATATTTTAACGCAAAATTAAAGGGCTGGTCCTTTGGCACCGCATTCTTCGGCCCTATTTCGGAAGCCTACGGTCGTCAATATCCTTTGTCCACTGGTCTCTTCCTCTTCATCGTCTTTCAGATCCCTACCGCATTAGCAAAGAATATCCAGACACTTCTTGTATCTAGGTTTCTTACGGGATTCTTTGGCTCTGTACCCTTGGTAACGGTGTATGCGATTTTTGGGGATGTATTAGGGGTGAGGAAGAGGGAGTGGGCGATGTTATGTTTCGGGACGAGTTTGCTTGTTGTGAGTATATTTTCAACCACTGTGTTTATAGGATGTAGTGGTTGATAGAGAAACAGGGAGCTTGTCTAGGTCCAATTGCTGGCGCCTATCTCGTTGTCACACACCCTGCAACCCGTCGGAACCATGACGGTTGGCGTTGGACGGAATACACGACGATCATCATGTCCTTCATTATCTACCTCACCATATTTATCATTCCAGAGACTTGCCCTCATCGGCTCCACAATATGCGAGCCAAGAAGATGCACCCGACAAATCATGAGGAGATGACGGACCGCGCCGCCGAACGACACCGCACATCACCCAAACGTCTAATCGACGTATGGTTGAACCGGCCATTCATCATGCTCTTCACAGACCCACTCCTTTTTCTAAACACCCTCCACTCCGCGCTCGCTCTGGGCATCCTGTACATAACCTTCGAAACTTTTATGCTTCCCTTCCTCCAAACCCGACACTGGCTGCGTCCCGACACTTCCTCCCTCCCACCATACGTTACCATGACCCTCGGCATCCTCTGTGGCACAACAATAACCAGCTACTTCATCCTCACCTTCATCACTCGCTACTTTGAAAAATACGGCAAAATGAAAAAGCCTGAAACACGCCTCCTCCCCGTCCTCCTAGGCGCCCTCCTCCTCCCCTCAGGACTATTTTGGTTCGCATGGACGAACTCCCGCACCCAGCACTGGCTTTCACAAGCCGCATCCTGCATTTTCATCGGCGCAGGCGTCCTGCTCATTACCCAGCAGAGCGAGGCATATACGCTTGAAATCTATAAGCCCGAGTATAGGAATAGCGTGTTAACGGCGACGGTCTTTTTGAGGAGTTTGTTTGCAGCGGGGTTTACGATGGCGAGTCGGCCTATGTATGAGAGGCTGCATGTGGATTGGGCGACGAGTGTTTGGGGATTTGCGAGTTTAGGCTTGGGAATTTGTCCAGTAGTAGTTTGGGGGTGGGGGGAGAGGTTGAGGAGGAGGAGTAGGTATGTGACGGAAGGCCAGGCGGTGGACGGCGGGAATGTGAATGGGGATGGGAGGGAAGTATGATTGGGAAGTGTAGATCACCTGCCCGGCTGAGATGGTTGTCGTTAAACTTCTCCTACAGGCTATAAGGGAGTTGCCAACTTGCTCTAGGTTGTTAATCCTCCCAGCTTTAATTTGATATCTTATGACCCTGTTGCTAATTTCCCTTTGGTAGCTTCTAACCTGCAGTTGGTGGTATATCAAATCCTCTATGCAGCCTGATTGTACCATGATTGAGAAGCCTCAATTCGTATAATGCATGTAAGGTAATATTCTGTATGACCACAGTGGGCTGTTAACACACTTGAACAATGAGCGCAAGTCTTAGCAAAACTCAGATTAATGGTTTTGATATAGCTTCGATGATCGTCTCTAAGAAATCCGCAAAGGTTCGAGAGTAGCAACATACCAATGAGGTTGTTATTGGAGTGCAAGCCTCACAAAGTTCCAACCGTAAAGGTCCTGCAACAATATTAGAGGCGGTTGAGAAGGGAGAAGAAGGTCAAGGGGGAACGAATGAGAATCGAATTTTGCAAATAATTCTAATAACCCAGGTAATTCTCCTTACATGTCCGGGATGATGTGGTATAGTCCAAAAGGGAATAGCCTAGAGGCTTTTACCATTCAATAAATTCCAACCGTGGCAACATGTTCCCAGCATCAACTAATTCCTTATTTCCCATAGCTCTCACTGAAAGAAGTGTCTTCCCCAACTATGATTTTGTACGCCACCTTTGCATACTCCTCCGCCTGCTTTGAGTGCTTCATAGCCCCCTTAGCCGCAAAGGCAGTGCATGCGTGCATGAATATTTCTACCAAATAGTCCACCACCAAGCCCCACTTGACAACCGCGAAGGCTGTAGGAGAAAGGTCCACACCAACGACAATGAAGCCAAGTGAAGTCAGGGCCTTCCCAACAAACTCCAAGCTCTTGGTCTAATTGTACCGTGAATTGTACGTGCGTATCATTGCTAGTTGTGGGTCCCAGAGCAGAAGACGAGGGAGCCCATCTGCAGGCCGCGCGTATGTTGTATCCAGAGCGTCGAGCAGGCGCTCAATCTTCTTCGCCTGGAAGACACCATTTGCCGCGATATTGAACTCTTGCTTCATCTGCTCCAGCAACTTCCGTCGCTCCGTCACAACAGCAGCTTTCGTAGTCTTGGCGTTGAGGCAGATGGCGCAGTCACAGACAATCCCCCAATGGCTAAGCTTTTTCTGAGCGTTCTTGTCGCCGAGGCTGGTGTACAAGAATGTGATTTCAGTGCCTGGCTCCAAGTCGCAGCATGCGCGTACGATCATCATGTCCCCAATAAATGAGCGGTGGGCGTTGCTGGTACAACTGTGGTTTATATACGATGCTTTTGTCCAGATACCACATGAATAATGGGATGGTTCCTCTTTTGTTTGGTTGGCCATAGTGTCCTTGTGAAACACCAGACTGGAGACTGGACAGCCAAAGACATTGAACGAGATGATTCGATCAACGAGAACCTGGATACGTTTGCGTGTCAGTATTGTATCCTTGTGCTTAATGCAGAACAGGACGAGTAATCTAGAATAAGGATTTGCATTCTTTCAACAGTCTCCCTTATTCTAGCGGGGGGTCATGTTCCAATTCAAGTGATAACATGCTGTACAAATGATACCGTTTGCGGGCTTTTCTGAGGGAGCACTTACGTATCGACGATCGGTTCTGCATCAACTGTATGCGTGCTTGCCTTCTCGTAGGTTCCATGATATAGAGTGGTGAATGGCGGAGCAACTGATGGATTCCGATGCAGCTTGTGCACGATGAGTTTGATGAGGTCAGCCTCTGCGCCCAGAGAGGCATGTTTTGTCTCAGGGTTTAACAACAGGGTTATTTTGGATCTGCCCCCTTCACGCTCGTCTGCGTAAGAATAACTAAATGCCTTCTCGCACAGCAGTAATTCTCCCGCTTTCACAGCCCGAGTGACAAACAGACCGCGGCCTTTAGACTCCGTCTGTCTCACTTCAACAGGGCCAATGTACGTAGCATGATCCAAGTGTGGCGGCCGAAGCTTCTTCGCTTTTGCCTGGAGCAGTTTGAAATCGTAAGACCCAGTCTTTTGCTCCAGGTATCGAGCCCGAGCGCGATCAAGGACTTCTACGGCTCGGGCGTTGTGCGGATAGTTCTTCCGAAGCAATTCGAGCACTTCACAGCTCTCGCCAAAGCGTTCGAGGCAATAGAGAGCTTCCGCGGCACGGAATAGAGCCTTCTCTGGAACGTTGGGGTTGAAGGTAGGGAAGCCTGTGTCGAGGAGTGCAGAATCAAACCTCTTGACTTTAAGGAAAGCAAGCGATCTGTTGCGTTTGATGATATCGATTTCGTTTGGTGTGGCAGGCTGGCGAAGTGCAATCGTGTACCTGTCCAAGTTGTCAGGGACGCTTGTCTCTTCCTGACATGGCATGCTTACTCTGTGATCGCATCCCAATATCTACCTTCTACCAGGGCAATATTTCCCTTGGTCTTCAAAGATTCGGCTGAATGTTCTATCTCAACGAGTCGCGGCTGCCATGGCCCTGGAATCCTGGCATCGTCCCTATTGACATGGATGACATCGGAGAGATGATCTACGCGGAGACCATACTCGCCGTCTGCCATTACCTTGAAGTACGGTTCCTTCACTAGCAAGATTGTACCAACGTCAACGATTTCGATGGCCTTCCGGGTATCCTCGTCCTCCTGCTGGAATAATTGTAGCATTACAGCATCGCGATTCTCATCCTTCATGATAGCCATAATCCCCGTCCTGCGTCTAGGGGGCGTGATGGATCGTAACAGTAGATACGTGCCTCGGTGGTGTGTCTCAAGCTGAAGATCTCTAATCGCAATGCGTCTCAAATCGGCCATCGGCGTGATACATGGATGATATGCTGGCGGGATGAACGAGGAGTGAATCATATGTCCTTTTTCTGTGCCTTTGGTTAGCATGAGAGTTGTCATGAACCGGGTCGATGTATCCTCTCTAGATTTCCGGTCGCGAGGTGGCAGACCTTGGCGGCCTTTGGCATTTTGCAAAACCTGCATCTGGTTGCTCATGAACTGGGCATATGTGTTGGAAACGTTGAACACGTCCATCGTGAACACACTTCAATAGCAACAAGATCTGCTGCTATAGAAAGCACAGGGTGTTACTTGGATTGTGAGAGTAGCGGGTCCAGAGAAAAGGAAAGGGGAAACCAGTCAGTTGAAATAGTAGTTTCGAAAAAGGTTCCGGGTGGCCGTTTGTATTCACAGCAAATTGAAACGAAAAAAGATTTCCAGGGATTTTGTGCTCACAAAAACTTGCGCACATCGTTTCTAGGCAACCATTGGCGAGGCGTTACACAATTGTTTGGATCGGACCCATTTTTCCATTTGCTAACCCTGTGATTTCGAAGTGAATGACTGTCACTGGCTCGTGGAGGTGGCCGTCTGCACGTATCCTTCCACCGAAACGTATTGTGGGCCAACATGCAGTATTGCAAATTTCTATCCGTTATTCCCGATGGTAGGATTCCAAGAGGTACCTGAATGGAGAGGTGCATTGGCAGGGCCGGGGGGACTTTCTTGTTTTATGTTTTCTGACACCGTAGTAGTCCTGAGTTCCTGATTTCCTGATTTCCAAATAGTTTAAGCGAGCATGAGACAGCGAGAAGGTGGCCCGGTTTGTGGGGGATTTTAACCGTATGTTGGAATATGAAGAGTTGGAGGACGAGCTCGACGTGGACAAAAACTGGTCTCTACCCTGAGTTCTACTCTTCTCCCAAGCTTCTAGCGTTCTCGGTCGATTATTAGAACGCCTGAAAAGCGCACATTCGTTTCACTCTCATGGCAAACTCAGCCATATATAGAACGATAACATCAAATTCAGCCCCAGTTGAAATCATTGAACACCCTGTTCTCCTTGGCGAAAAAATAATCGACTACATCCGGTACGATACTCGTACTTTTCAAACAATTCGGGTAGTCGTCCACACAACCGGGCCATATTCAGAGACCTCTCTCCGTAGCCGCAATCATGCTAGTGTATACCTGATCCTAGAACATGAAAAATGGTGAGGGCGTCAGAGTGACAGCCCGAATCAGAATAGTGACCGACCCGAGTTACATTCCAGACATGCTACTCAGCGTTCCCAACCGTACGTAATACGTTTCAACTCGCCGTTTTTTAGGCTGTAACTTCTTAGTTTGTTAGTACGTTTTAATGTAAAAAGAGAATTTAAATCTACTTATAGGGCGTAACTGTTACAGCTTACAATCCTCCTACATTTTAACAGCTTGCAAGACGTTATAGTGTATATAGTCTACTAAGTCCCCTATTTTACTATAAATATAACCCTACTAGAGCTAGTTTTTTTGCAGTTAAAAAGCCTTAATTATTAAGCTAAAAAGCTTATTTTTATTATAAGTAATAGTTCTTTTACTCTTAAAAAAAAACCTCTTATAATTACAGCTTATAAAAAAGATAAATAAGAAGTTAAAAGTAATTTTATATAGTGTAAAGTAAAAAAGTTGTCTAACTTATTTCTACTAAGTAAAAAAGTTAGTAAATAAAAGGCTGTTATTATTAGCTATAGTAATGTCTTTATAGTAGCTGTTATAGTACTGCTGTAACTTTATTATTTTTTACTACTTTTTATATAAGCAGCTGCTAGTAAGAAGGTTTATGTTAATAAAAAAAGTCTTTTTAAAGCTCTTACTATAATAGTTGCTACTAGGTAACTTGCATTACATAGGCTTTTAGGTAATGTTATTATTATTAGCCTTAGCCTTAGCCTTTACATTAATATACTTTTAAAAAATAGCTTTTATTAAAGCCTTAGCTTTTTTATACTATGTAAAGTGCTTTCTCTAGTAGTCCTTAAACTAAATAAGATAAAGTTAAGAGTTTAAAATTATTACTATATAGTAATAAAATATAAGTAGCTTAATAATAAACTTTTTTTAGTATATAAGCAACTTTTTTATGCTAAATGCTACGCTAGATTTAAGGTAGTAATTATTACTCTTACTTTTAAGTTTATTACCTATACATAGAAGCTTAGTATAAAGGTGTTATAAGTTAATAATAGATATTTAAAGAGAGCTATAAAAGCTATTGCTTTTAAAGTATTTTATTATAAAGTAAAAAACTTTAAAAAACTTATAAAAGTAATTAACTTTTTTTTATTTATTTTTAGTAATAACTTTAGTAAAAGTAGAGTTACTAAAGATAGTAAAGTTTATAAAGTTATTATTAGTGCTTTTTTACTTATATATAAACTTAGTAATAGTGTTCTTAAGCTTAAAACAGCAAAGAAGCATAAGATAAACACTGTACTAGTGTACACTACTATCTTGTATAAGATTAAGCGTCCTAAAGCTCTAAAAAAAGTTATTATTATTAAAAGAAGCCTAAAAAGTTATAAAAGCCTTTTATTATTTATATAATGCTAGTACTATGTTTATAAAATTATAAAGTTTTCTAACAACTTTATAGTAGTAATAAAAGTTAAATTATTCTTAAAAAGCTACTTAAGTAAGCTTTACTTTAAAAGCGCTTATCTTTTTACTATAAATAACTGCTTTTACTACTAGCTAAATTGTATAGCTAGCGCAGCGTATACAGTGCTTAGAGGTAAAGGGTATATTAAGATGTTAAGTAAAAGTAAAGATAGTTTTATTATTATTATTTAACATATTATTAGCTACTAAATAATAAAATTTTAATATAATTTTAAAGTTATTAATAACTTTAATAATCTCTAGCGCTTAATTTACTCTAGTATAGTTACTATACAGGTTGCAGAAGCTAATTAAAATGTTGCAGTGTTAGTAGTTAACATTTACATAGTATTATTAGTTAGTGTTTAGTTTAATAAAAGATGCTAAGACACTAAACTAATAAGCTAAAATATACTTACTAATAAAGTGTAACACTACACCTAAAAAGAAGAGGTAGTTTAGAGAAGTTTATATATTAATACTTAACATAATTTTACTTTAGGCTATTCTTAGTATTATTTAAATCTCCTACTTCTACTGTGTATATCCCTACTACACATAGGATAAATATGTAGTGTTAGACGCTAAAAAGGCAGTAAGAAGATTAGCTTTATTTTAGGTAATAATACTTTAAAGTTTTACTAATAATACTATATAAAAAAAAATATTATAAAGTATTACTTAATTAATAACTACTACTTATAAAGCTTTTTTCTACTAAACACTATAAAAAATAATATATAATAAGCCTATAACTTTATAAGCTACTTTAAATAAACTTAAAAAAATTCTTAGCTTATTAAGTAAAAAAGCACTTTTACTTTTTTTACTAATGTCTATTTAGTGCTTTTTTCTAAGGTAGTAAATAATATAAGTGTAACTATTAACTTTCTTTACTTTTTTATAATTGCCTTTAGTGTAGCACCTTCTATAAAGCTATAACTTTATTTTAGAAGCATCTTTTTTATTATTATACACTAAATTAGCTTTATAAAGCTATATTTAGAATAACTAATAATTACTATGTAATTAGCTTTTATGCTTTACTTAGTATTTAAGCTTTTTTAGCCTTAACTTTTTATTTTCTATCTAGATGTTATTCTACTTAATAGTAAATAATACCTTATTATTAAAAGTAAAGTTGTCTAGGTACTTCTTTATAAAAGCTAAAAGACTATTAGATAGTGTGCTATTATAAAAAAAAACTAAGAACTTTAATAATAAAAACCTTAACTAAGTAAGTTAATAAAAACTAGCATAATAAGTAACTTTAGTTTAGTAAAAAAAGCTAGCTTAAAAAGATCCTTAAAATAAAGCTATACACTTACTACACTAAAGAAACTAGAATATCTAGCTTATAATAAGTAAGTTTATAAGTAATTATAATTTTTAACTAAAATTATAAGATTCTACGCTTTAATCCCCTTCTTTACTAGCTTTTTAATTATTGTATAAACTATAGAGTTTTTACTTAATTATTACTCTAAAAATATAACTTTAAATACCTTTCTAACATGTCTTTATAGCTGTCTAATAAGACCTTATATTACTAGGAAATATTGTCTCTCTAAGACGTATTACAGTCTGTAATGGGAGCTGGCTCCTACGTACGTTACGGCTCACACTCCTCCTACGTTTCAACGGCTCACGTGACTGCTACGTTCACGTATCTACGAGTCGTAGTACGTACGGTTGGGAACGCTGAATGCTACTCTGGCTCTGATATCGCTAACATGAATTCCGCTTTGCCATAGTTTGTCGCGACTACGTCATAAAGCACCCTTAGAGGTGAGAGCGCTGTACATAGGATTCAAGATTGTCTACAGACTAAGCTACGTCGTGCAATATGCTCTATGACGATAGATCACATTGTCTAAGTCGCAAGGAAACGATTGTGGAGCACTGGCTATCATTTGGTTAATTAAATCAAACCCCCTTTGTTGCTTTTGTACCTCCTTTGCGATCCTCACCACAGTCGTACTACCTGGCATCCCGATTAGGATTCTGGCGTGAAAGATGCCGAATAAGATATCATTCGTCCTAGGATCATTGCAAAAGTCAAAGGCAGCGAGGTCTATAAATATGGCGTTAGCGAGCGGGTCAGTACAGATGTAGTTGGCTGTCTGGTGTCACGAAACACCGATTTCGGCGCATACAAAATAGGTTAGTCAGATGACAAGTGATGGAGGCTGCTATTTGGTCCCAAAGGTCCAAGCTCCCTCGATTCAAATTCGGGAAGGTGAGAGAGCGCGGCTCTGGTGAAGGACAAGAATAAAATTTAGTGCAGAATTTGAGCTAGTGTCTATCAATCTCTGACCCATCTCTGGCGACCTATGTATATTTGATATCTTCCATGCCCCGTCCAAACTTCAATGCACTCTCCACCAACACTGCTAACTCCGGAAAACCTTGACAGAGCTAATTAAAGAATTCAGGGAGAGCAGTCTCGTCCCGGATGCTTTCTTAGACCTTTGCTCTCAAAAAAGATATTAACCCACTCTTCTGCGATATGAATGCACACCCAAACCTTAAGTATACTATGAATCTCGACACATTAAACCTTTTCAATTACATGCCCGCTTTAGAACCCTTTCCTGGACCAATTCCGGTGCACTTCCTTAATGTCTCATGGCCGGCAACTCGTTCACCAACCCAACAGGTCCTGGTCCCGGATACTGTGGCGCAGGACTTCCAGGCTGGTACTGCGGTGCGGGGCTTCCTGGCTGGACTGGACTTTGCGCACCCGGCGCCGCTCCATAAAATGACGTGACCAACGGATCGGCTGCTTGGTTCACTGGCGTAGCAGCCTGAGTCATGACTTCTCCATACACGGCTGGCATCTTCTCCTGGGGCAGTGGAGCGACAGAAACTCCTACATTGCCCGCTGGCGGTGGCTGGAAATTATTTGGAGCGGGAGGAATGGGTTGAGGAGAGACGTCGGGGGTTTTGGCTTTGCGCCGAAGCAGGACGATAACGGCAATGGCTACGACACCAATGATAGCGATTCCGCCGACTGCACCTCCAACTATGATGCCGATCTTTGCGTTGCCCCCGCCGCTGGATGTGGCGGGAGAGGTGGAAATAGGCAGGACGGGAGATGTTGGAGAGGTCGGGCTAGTAGGGATCGGGATAGTTGTCGGAGGGATCGAGGATGGAGAAGAGGTTGGGGTAAGGGTCGCAGGTGCTGCAACCTTAGGTTAGTCAAGGTGGTTCGTTTGTGCAGTAGGGGGTGGAGAAGAGTAGGAAAGGCAACACACAACTACCTGGCGTCTTTTCATAGATCGCAACGCCTGTATATCCAACTGCATTACACCAGTAACCTGTCTTCGGATTCGAGGCTCCGGAAGAGGAATATAATAAATGGTAACTGCATACAGATGCAAATACTCCGCTAATTCAGTACAAATATCATTAGCATGAGGCCCCTAAGCAAACATATGAAGAGCCAACTCACCAGTAAGAGCTGGTACTCCCCAACAGCACGTATCCACTTGAACATCCGTGCCAGATATTACAGGGAATGTTTTTCGAACAGAATCCATACACAGATCCCGAGCTGCTGAGGACATAGGCATCGCTGTACGTTGCAGCGTTCCCTGCTGATATTTAGCTGCCTCTGTTTTCGAGATCCATATTGGAGGGCATACATACAGATTGTACTCCCGCTTATACTGCCCCCAGCATACCACCCATACACAGAATCCACCCTCGGCAACAAAGCACGTGCGGTGATAAGGGGTTCTGGGGCCGATATCACTGCAGTAGAGACATGTTTTGCCAGAAGTCCCAGTGTGATGAATCGCAGCATCTTGAAAGAATGTGTGCTGTGAAAAGGGAGATGGGGAGAGGACTCCAGCTACTTAGGGATGCGCAACTCCTTGCCCCTTCAGACACAAATCTAGCGTACCAATCCCGACCTTTGGAGCTCCAGCTCCTGCGGCTGAGTGTCCAGCGTTCCACGATGATATTGGTTCGCCAAAACATTCCCAAGAAAGGCGAGTAAGAAAAGCAACTCCAGAGCGGCCCAGCCTTATCTGTAGGCGCCGCTCAACTCAGAATCCGGAGGGATGGAAAAGCATCGAGCTCTATCGCGCTCTTGTTACGCTGAAGGAAACCTCGATTCTGTACCTGAGGGTATTATATCCAGACACGCAGACCATTTTTTTCCTGTTTTGTTTCGAATACGGAGTACCTGTCGCCTGCTTGTCAAGTTGCTGGTGGCGTCCCTCGCTAATTAACTCATGTTTAGTGGTTGGCGTTCTCGGCGCCGCGATATCATTCCCAGATTAGAAACCGTTCGCGATCTGCAGTGAAACCAATCCAATCAGTCGAATGAGCAATGTCACACCTCGAGAAACTGGAATATTGGCAGCTTTGAGGACACAGACCGGAAATTGGCACTGGGTCTGCCATTGGTAGAAGATCGAGTTCTGAAATCTACGACAGAAAGGCGATCGTCAAGTGAGGAAGAAGACAAGTCCTGAATAGTTCAATGCATTCCATTTCGTACATAATTGCCATCGTCGACGAGTGTCATAAAATTATACCACTCAACTGGAGTAAGGCTCCATTGACTCCCCATCGTGGATATTTCCACTAGCCAGTCTTCGCTGCATCCTCACGGGCGTGTAGTAGGCAATTCGGTCATATTACCAGGCGGTGGCGCGGCATAATGTGGTGCTGGCGCACCAGCTGGCAATTCCCTAGTGTAGACTGGTTGGCTAGGATACTGAGGTGCAGATGGACTAGACGGATACTGAGGCGCTGGAGAACCTGACGGATACTGCGGCGCTGGTGACTCAGGTACCGGGCTTGTAGGTCCTGGCTGGTAGTAGTAAGAAGGGTGAGTATTAGCAGCCTCGACGGAAACAAAAGGCGCTACGTTATTTGAAGGTAGCTTTTCAGGCAACGGAGAAAGTGGTGTGTCGGGTTGGGTTGAATGTTGAGTAGACCTTCGGCGGAACAAGAAGACGACAGCAACTACAGCGACACCAATGATGGCGATACCACCTACTGTTCCCCCAACAATAACACCAGTCTTGGGTGTTTGAGGGGTGGCTGTGACGGATGGAGATGCTGAGGAAGAAGTGCCTGCAGCTGAGTTAGAAAACGAGGTAAAATCCACTGCTAGAGCTTGCGTAGATGAGCGAGCCCATGGAGTTGAACTATGTTGATTCTCAAACCCTTTGGGGCTGACATACTTGCTGTAGAGCTCCTTGCCTGAGATGACGTGGTGGGGCTTGTAAGAGTGGACGATACCCTTACGATAGTAGACGTGCTTGATGCAGGCAAAGTCGTTGTACTTCTCGGTGTCGTTGACGTGGGTGACGGAGTCGGCGTCGGCGTTGAACTTGGGGTGGATGTCCCTGTCTATTAGTTAACTTCGAGCACAGATGAAAATACAAAGTGATGTTTCCATACGACTGGATGTCGGAGAAACCTGGTAGATGACGACGCCGGCTTGTCCAGAGGCATCACACCAGATCCCCGACTTGGGATTTGAGGCTCCTAATGAAGTGTATAGAAGATCCCAACCACATTTCGAAAAGGCTCCGCTAAAGGTACACGTATTAACAAGCTGATTTCCAAGAGGCCAAGAGAACGTAAACCCACCAGGTGACGGACCCCGATGGATACAAAGCATACCCAGACGAGCATCCCGTGAACATCGTACATGATACCGCACCCTGGCTAGGGCAACTGCGGAAGTAGGCACCGGATGTCGTCAGGAAAGAGGCATCAGAGAATGTGGCAGCTTTGTCTAGAGAGAATCAGTCTCTGTTTCTTTTGAACAAATTCGTGACTTCTCACAGAGAATGGTTCCACCACTACTTCCAGTAGAGTACCAGCCGAAGGTTGATATTGCTCTCGGGAGCAGGGCAAGTGGGGTCACCATCGGCTCAAGTGCGCCTAAGGAGACGACCGCTGCCACGGCAAAATGTGGGAGCATAATCGCAATGATAGGAGCCAACATTGTGAAAAATGTTGTTCGATTTCGGTAATGAGCTGAGTGGAAAGTGGAGGACAGGACGGGCTTAAAGACGGAACGGACCTCCTTGGAACCGGGCGACTATATACTAGCCTTAAGTATATTCATCGCTACCACCGAAATTCGTCAAGCATACATGCTGAAAAGCTCACAAATTTGGGATCTCGCTCGGGAGGGGACCGGGCGAGAAGGCGTTCGCGGTGCATGCGGCGGCATCTCAGACCGTTTCCGGCGCACCAGCATCCACCGAGAGCGATTTTGCATCCAAAACTATTCTCAAAGAGGGAAATTCTGTTCGAAATGTGGTCTAGTGACCTGTCAATATATGCGAACGTTGCCCTCCGTTGACATCCTACCCACTTACTACTGGCTCGCTAGAGACAGAAGTGGCTGTGGTAGTGCATGGTAGCTACTAATATCTAGCTCACCCCACCATACAATTGAATACCACTAGCTCAAAGGTGTAATGCCTCTCGCTAAATTTAGGTTACAGATTAGGGCTGGCTGGAATGGTCAAGCTTGCCTTAAGGCTGCACGCTCTGGTTGTCCATGAGTGGAGGAGGTTTGCGCAGTAACGAAAACAGAGAAGGCTTTGGCCACAGAATTTCTTTCACAAATGGCAGCAGAGCGTAGGAGGTCAGATCAAGAGAGGCCTAGATGGGTCGAGAAGTTGCGGTAAGTATGGATTATGTCTGGAACGAGGACGAGAACCTCTAAGTCCGGATGAGGGATGTTCTTATGCGAGGTCTTAACTCTTGCATTCAGAGATAACTCGCGCAGATTGAGTGTCAACTAAAGATGGGAAGGCTTGGAGTTGGAGGACAGAAGGCGATGAAAAGCTTAGCGGGAACCTAGACTTGTAATAGCCTATCTCATGTGCTCAGCCGACTGTGCAGAGAAGCTCGGAGCCCCTGAGCACCCTGCAACTAGGAGGGGGACCCCTACTAGCTCCCTTACTAATAAGGCTAGCTAATTAGAGGCTTAAAACTGCTTTCTCTGTCTATCTGTCTAAAAGACTTTTATAAATTTTTAGGTAATATAGTTATTATAAACCTCCTCTACTATGCACTAGCTTAACTAAGGATTATTATAGCTCTACTACTATACATCTAAACTAGGTTAGATTTTAATAAGTAATAAAAACAGTCTCTAGCTATGTTCTAACATTTTTATAATCTAATTTTAATAATATTTAGTAGGGTATTATGTTACTAAGTTCTCTAACGTACTTAACAGGCAAGTTGCTTACACACCTAAGTTACTTACTTTTACTAAGACCCTACTAAACTACTTTTTCTACACTAATGCATTTCTAACAACACTACTTAGACACACTAAAAGAACATTAGATGTAGCTTATACTTTAGGCTTTTAAATAAAACATAACACTTTTAAAATAATATACTGTAGCTGTCTGTACGCAGCAGCAGCGTCACAGTCTGGATACGAGCGATCGCGCACGAGCAGGACCACGTATCTCTGTCACATAATGCTTGTGCGCGAACCTCTGTGCGCAAACATCTAGATATCCCCCTTTTCCTCTGTATAGAGGAAAGACAAGAGTAATAGAACTAGAAACATGTTGCCTTTACCTTACCTACCTTATACACTGTGCACACTATACACTACTCTTACTTTTGCTACTTAAGTGCTTATACTATAAGCAGCTAGCTGTTAGAGCCTATTTAACACTAATTAGTAGTTAATTTAATTAACTATAAATTAGTAAAAGTAATAATAAAGTACTTACACTTTATAAAGTACTTTATTTTGTTACTTATCTTTTAAAAAGAGTAATAGTAGAGTACTTACACTTTATAAAGTACTTTATTTAGTTACTTATCTTTTAAAATAGTAGATTAATTTTTTACATTATATAGTAAGCTCTACTACTATATAAAGTAAAAAAGAGATAGTGTAAGACGCACACTAAAGCTACTAAAGCTGCACAACCTAGTAGCTAGATAATAGCACATTAATTCTTTACATTACACAGCAAGCTCTGCTACTGTATAAAGTAAAAAGAAGATAGTGTAAGGTGCACACTAAAGCTATTAAAGCTGCATAACTTAGTAGCTAGACAACAGCAGTACCTGTATAATTTACTAAAAAAGTAATTAACTATACTATTATAATAAAATCTTACTAGTAACTAATAACTTTATGTAATAATAAAAAAAATAAGGAATAATTTCTATTATATAAATAACTTGTAAAGAATATAGAGATATTAGAGGCAACACTATAAAATAAGACTAGCCTAAAGTACTAGAATAATAAGATTAACATGTTAAAAGCTCTAATAAGCCTATAGACTTAATTATATATAAGTTATATAATTACTAATCTATGCATAATAACTTAAAAAGGCGCTACCCTTTTAAGTGCGTACATAGAGGATTTTAAAAGATAGACACTATAAGACTTCTTAGCACTTAGCTATGTGTTTAAAAAGAAGCTTATATACAGCGTGGCCAACAGTACGTAGTACGTTACGTTTGAGCTTTTTTCTGCCAGTAACTTCTCAATTTAGTAGTACTTTTGTACGTAAGCAGTGAATTAATTAGCAAGTACGTAACGTAACAGTAACTTCTCAAAATCCTTATACTTTTGTACTTTTCGCGAGAAGTTTTGTCGGTCCGGGTCAAAATTGTTCCAGGAGAAGCTTTTTGGCCTGGATAAAGTCCCCTAGAGTAGTCAATTCACTCTCTACAGCCCTATGACGTAACTAGTTCTTTTAGAGCTGCAGAGCCTTAATTATACAACCTGCTAAGCAGTTTCTATTAATTATAACTGTCCTCCTGCCTCTAGAGAAGGCTCTCTTACAGTTGCAGCTTGTTAAGGGTATACAGAGGAAATTAAGCGTGGGGTAGGAGTAACAACTAACTTTAAGCTACTAAGTAAGAGGCAATTAGAATAGCAGGGATCCCTCCTTAGCTACAGAGAGGTCTTTAATGTAGCTGTTATAGTATTGTTAAACGCTAGTAAAGTTAATTTTTATAGGGGGCTATTTAGCACACTAATTAGGCTACTGTGCTATAAAACACAGAGTTTTATCTAATTCTTACTCTAAAACGCAACCTTAAACAAAGCTCCCAACGCGATGGCTAATAGGGTCTAAAAACAGGAGGGAAATCTCCCAAAATATGACCTCTCTGACCCGTACTACGGGACGTACTTGGCAATTCACTGTACAAAAGTTACGTCTCACATTTTGACTACTTTTGTACGCCTCACGTGATTACTACGTTCACGTAGTTACGTTACGTACTACGGACTGTTGGCCACGCTGCTTATATAAGTGCTAAAAGACAAGAGAATTACACTACAGCTAGGCACTAAAAGTACCTAAGCCTAGAAGCTGTATAATATAGCATAAAAAAAGGTAATTACACTAAAAAAGCTTTATACATAACCTTTATTACTATATAAGGCTCTACACAGAAGCAGACTAAACATAATGCTGCTATTAACACTAAATGTACTAGCATTACCTGCTTCTGCACCTTAGCTAGCACTACACTAATTACTGTATAAACAATACATGCCACCCTACCTAACGCCTGCTCTACACCCTTAATTGTACACACCACTGCATGCAGTAGTGTATGCACTACTAATACTACCTGCACAATCTATACTACATTACAACTTGTACAAACTTTCACCTTAAAGGGAAACTACTAAAGAAAAACTTTTAGCAGATAAGATTATATAATTTTAAAAGGCATAAAAAAAAGATAATAACTATATAAGTTAACTATATAACATTCTTATAGATAAAATAAGAATCTTTATTAATTTATGTTAATAGCTAGATATCTAAAAAACTTAGTACACAGACATTTTTCTAGATATTTTAGAAAGTTAGGTAAATATGCACTATATGTATAACATAGGCCTTAGAAATAACTAGAAGCATTTATATAACACCTTAAGCATTATAATAAAGAATTTTATATAAAGAGAAAAGAAGGAACTGTAAAAGGTAAAGTTCTATGTAAAGAGTAAGACTATTTTAGTAGAAAAGCAGCCTATTAAGTTTAATAGTAAAAGGATTAAACTTACACATAACATAGTAGTTCTTACTTAGAAGGGATAAGTAAGCTACTTTTATATAATTAACCTAGAAGACAAAGATGCTGCATAATAATATGTTAAGTAACATGTAAAAAAGGTATACATTATATCTATATGTTAACTAGAGGCAGCATTTAACTTGTTTATTACTATATAAACTATAGACTTTTTATATAATAATATTAACATACTTAACGCATAAATCTAATAGTAGATAGATAATAGTAAGCACAGTCTTACCTTTCTACTATTACAGCTTAATTATGCAAAGCTGTTTATCTTTATAAATAGATTATTTACTAATAATAAAAACTTTAGCTTATAGCTAAGATTCTTAATTATATTAAGTAATAAGAACTATATAAAGTAAAGCAACTACTTTAAAATACTAGGCAACATTATATACTAGAATTCTACTAAGTGTAAAAGAGTAACTAAGAGTGTTCTTACTAGTAAACTATATAAAATAGTTAAAAAGTTTAATAATATAATTACACTTAGTATAACTTTATAGTAAATTATATAAACACTTAAACTACTACTAATTCTAGTAGTAATCTATATAGATTTAAAGTCTTTATATAATTACTTTATTAAGCTAGGCACTACTAGTAAAAAGTAACTTATAATTAATATTATATTACTCTATAAATTATATAAAAAAAGGGAAATTACTAAAATAAAGTAAATTAATAGTAAAAATAACTTAGTAAATGTATGTATAAAAAAAACACTAAACTAAGCTCTTTAATTACTAGTCTTAACTAACTACCTCTCTGTCTAGATAGAAGCATCTGTGGACTAGCTAGATTCTGTGCGCAAAGATGCCTTAGACTAACTAGACTAACAACACTTTTATATAAAGCCTATTTTCTTTTATTTTATTTTATTTTTTTTTATATTAT